CATCTGTCTGCAAACTGTTTATTTGTCGCAATTAACTCTTCCCTATTTCTGGTCCTCAATTTGTAAACCTTGCAGGAGAGTTGAAAATAACGTACGAAAGGGTCAGGAAAAGTGTGTAGAGAATGAAAGAGATTCGATCAAGAATACAAAAATTTGAACTTGTTAGGAATAATAATTACTGTTTTGTACTTTGTCTAATTTTTGATGTTATTTTTTGATAGGTATCATTTAGGTTCTATTCATTTCTTGATGAAAAAAATATTAATCTTCAGTGATTTTATTAGTTATTTATCTCACTCTGTAGCCATATGTTCTAATTCTGACTAACATCATGCCTATATGATTCAAATTCTAAGAATTATTATACACGGTGACTTGAAAAATGCAATTATTCAAAAATGCTCCGTATGAGATATTGGAATACGAAAGTACAGGGGTGGGGTGGACCAAATTGTAACAAACATAAGAGGAATCCATAGCATTGATCAAATTTTAGTTTTTAGTACATTATAACGTTGACGTGTCTCGCGAATTTTCAAAAAATCATTCACGTTTCCGCTAGCGAATTTATTTCAGTTGAAGTCTCCACACTGTATATAGTTTTGTAGCTACAGTAGCATTGTCTTCCCTACTTTATTGATAGAAAAAAATGGAATCTCATGGGCATGCATGCAAATATTGATAAAAAGCAAAATGAAAAAGGTAGGTGAAAATTGAAATCATGAGTATTAGGAAAACCTACTCAGGTTAGAATCAATATGCCGCCTGGTTGTCACTAGAGTTCCTGAATGTACTTGACACTGCTGGTTTGACTCTTTTTGTTTATTAGAGTACGGACACTGTGACAAGCACTGACAATCAGACATAACCACAAATAAATTGATGGAAAAAGCGGGAACTGACAGTACACGGACGTACATGACAGAAATTTCAAAGGTTTGACAAATTGAGATAGTTAGGAGGAAGATGCAAGTTTGTGCAGTTTCCAACTGAGAGAACTCGGGAAATCAATTCACTCTATTCGAATTTCCATCGGATAACGTGATTCTACAAAAATGGAAACAGAATAGGATGCGGCCGGCATAGAATATAGGTTCAGGTCACAAAATTTGCGAGGTATTCAAATTTCTTGGTAGGATATAGAACATTTTCCAACGCATTTTCATCAAGTATAATCAGAATGGAAGATTTGATGTTGAAGAATAGGATCGTATTGAGAGAAAGAGCCGAACCCACAACTTATAAACTCAGCGAGTATCGAAAAGAACCTCATTCCAATTTAGAACCAACAAGAAACGAAAAACTTGCAAGATATTATCAGAGCGCAGAACAGGAACGCTTAAGGAGTGCACCATTTATGTTAGGTATTGAAAATGATCTTCCGATGGCTGGGTCCAAACCAACAATCCAATTTAGCAATGTGAATGGCGATCTATAGTGAGTCGAGCGCCGAAGTCCATCTAGACCTCGATTTATACCCACTGCCGTATGTCTTGGAGAACCTTTATTATTTATCCTAAGTGAAATCAGCTGTTATTGTTGCCATATCATTTGTTCATTTATTAATTACTTATCACGTACCACTCTTGTACAAGTGAAATTGTTCCTTACGAAATAAAAGTATGTTTCATGGTTTGAAATTTATCAGTTTTTACCCCATTCTGAACTTTTGTGATGAACAAATAATATCCAACTGAACGTTTATTATATATACCTACATATAAGAGACTTATTTCATCGGAATAGTATATGTATTTCGTTGGTATATGTATATGTACATACCAACTTGATATCGACCTCCATTGAGGTCCTTCAGCCTTATCATACAATATTTCGAGAAGAAATAATGTTCTAATCAATTTATCGTACCCTTTTACCCACTCGAGGAGACGCTATACATACAAAAATCAGACCGAGAGAATGGAAGTTCTCTTCCCAGGACTTGTGGAGGAAGGAAGATGCGAGGATCCTTTATCTAAGCGAAAAACATTTATTTTTGTCCTTTGGAAAAACATATGATTTGCTTCAAAATCGTTTGTGGTTATGTTTGATTGTCACTGCTTGTCTAGTGTCCGTACTCTAATATACGAAAAACGTCAAAACAGCAGTGTCAAGTACATTTAGGAACTCTAGTTGGCACCACATATAAAATCAATAGAGTGATGTTACAAGGACAATCAAATAGTTACATGATTTTCTTTGATTATATGACTTGTACTTCTGATACCAACAGGAATTCGCTTATAAAAACGATTTATCACACATAAATAATTTCATTGTGTGCCAACCAGCACATAGTTTGACAGGTCATTGGATTGCCTATGCCTAATTGCTAGCTGAACAAAGAGCAAAATACAAATAAGGGCTTTCACACTGAGTTGATAGTGACGTCAATATGTCAATACATACAGTGTTGCCAGTTGAAAGAAAATGACTGAAAGACCAACCGCACGAATATGGATATGTCTAGTGTTACGATCGTCGGACGTTATATTTTTTTTTGCAACCAACTCAAAAGCCATCCATTTATATTTCAAAATCAGCTAATAAAGTTGATGAATGAACTTCAATATTTGTATTTAATGAACCATGAACCATGAACCTAAACAATGTACTGAATATGGAATTTAATAATAATAAAATACTTATAAAGAATAATAACTTGAAGAATGATTCATTATATCAACAAACAATCACAGATATCAACATTAAAAATATCTTATTTTTCTACCAATACACAATTATGTCTTGAATTCATTTTTCTTAATAAAACTGATCAGTATTCACATTTACTGAGTGAAAATAATAAAAACTTCGAATTCAATTTCGAGGTTATTACCTTTCTATAAATTGGAGAGATGAATTAGAAATTCGATCAATTGATTTTATTTCGTGGGAAAATAAATAGTGTCTATAGCCTACAATTTGACCAAAGTCAGTAACTGTGGCTTCAGCATTCCATAGTCATACATTCTTGTATGTCTGTTTTTTTTTTGAGGCTGCAGTGAGAATTTTATTCATTATTGTACTGTGGTAACTCGCATTATCCATAACAATTAAATTATGGAAGGTTCTTCCAAATTTTTCAACAATTGCTTTTCAAACCAGGTTATGTTGGTTCATTTCTCCATGGTAATCTTCATGTTTAGTTCTTGAAGGAAATACTAATTCTCACTCAATGGTTTAGGCATTTTGAATAAATCGAATTTCACCTATGATCCACAAATAAATCACAAACAATTCCTTGAAAGTACAAATTGTCCGTAATGAATAATTCGCAGAGATCAGCTGATCACAACAAATCGCTACTTGAAATGTTGAATAAATCTGGCATCGGTGTACAATTTTGCCAACTTAAATCGATAACGCGGTTCGCCCATTTCGAAAGCTACTAGTATTTTTCCATGTGCAGTTTTGGCACGACAATGTTACCAAGTATTGCGCAACTATCAACCCAGCATGAAAGCCCTTTTAGTTATCTAATGATGATGGTGCTATTGTAGGGCAACATTTTCAGTCAATTTGGAAACAGTATAATTTAGTTTGAACTAAAAACACGTACCCACTTTATGAAGTCTGAAGAATAAATACAAATTCCTAGTGATAAAGTCATCACTAATATAAAAAATATACAGGGTATGTCACGACGAGCTTACACTATCTCTATATCGAGAATTAGTCGGGAGAAATCCATGAAAATATGCATGCTTATATTTTAGAATACGTTCTCTTCATTTGAAATATTTTCAGCAATGCAGTTTTGCCGCTTCTATCAAAAAGTAGCAACAACTCTGGTATTTCATATGAAATACCCTGTATTTTATTGCATTTTTAGATTCTCCCTGAAGAGCTGATTTCATCGATACATCACACTTGGGGTCTATCGGAAAGGATTTCAGAGATATAGAGCGTTCAAAATCGAGATTTTTCAACTTTAGGATTTGTTGTCCCTATCTCAACTTTTCATTTACTATTTACTGATATTTAATCGGAACAGATACAGGGCGATCAGAATTCTGAATCTTGAACCACCCTGTATCTGTTCCGATTAAGTATCAGTAAATTATTGATCAAAATGTGAGATAGGGACATGTGAGCCGTTTTGACCGATAATAAATAGTTTGACACAAAAAAATCCTTAAGTTGAAAAATCTCGATTTTGAACACCCTATATCTCTGTAGTCATTTTCGATAGACCCCAAGTGTGATATATCGAGGAAATCCGCTCTTCAGGGAGAATCTAAAAATGCGATAAATTACAGGGTGTTTTATATGAAATATCAATGTTGCTACTATTTTCTAGTAGAAGCGGCAACACTGCATTGTCGAAAATATTTTAAATGAAGAGAGCGTATTCTGAAATATAAGCACGCACATTTTCATGGATTTCTCCCGACTGATTCTCGATATAAAGATAGTGTAAGCTCGTTGTGACATACCCTGTATACCTATTGAAGCTTATATAGGGTTCGAAACAAATTCAGTTTCAAAAAGGATGTTATGTGTTCATTTCTCTCTCGAAGTCAAGAGCACAATTTTTATTTTCAAGAATATATTGATTCTCTGAAAGAAATAATCTTAGATAGTGTTATGTCGCCAAAGTACTGTTTCAAATTTGAAAAAAAAATACTTAGGTCCTACAAGTATATTAAAATAGATGTAGGAACATGCCGTGTGTCCAAGATAAGGATGTCTATCATAGAGATCTCGACCTAACAATATGCCGTTCAGAAAGTTTTTAAATCAAATTTCATTAAATACAGTCGGAAAAAAATGGAAATGAAATCAGCAAATTTCGGTTTTTGATGAATATCTCCGGAACTACTCGGAATTTTAAAAATTTCTGAACGGCATATTGTTAGGCTTGAAAATGCGCAGTTGATATTGTTATTGTATTTCGGTAAAATATGAAAAGCATTATAGGGAGTAAATCTTAGATGGTGCATGAATGAATCTTTTTTTTTTCTGTTGGGTGTGGCATGTGTTTTGCTGTGTTGCAGGAAGAAATTGCAGTTAAAGTCAGAAAGGCAGAAGATCTCAAGTCTCAAAACTCCAGAGATTCTGGAATAGTAAGTACATGTTTACATCTATTCAACCGTTTCGATCGACTTTAAGAGAGAAATGTTCAGGTTTTTTCATTCAAGAATCCATGAGAATTTCGTCATGATGATTTTAAAGTAACTACTTCTAGAATCGGAAATTGAGAATTATTTTTCGTACACATTTCAAAAGTTCCATTTTTTGTTCAAATAACAAATGGATCATTTTCACTTTTCAATTGTACCAAATATACAGGGTGTATCTAAATAACCGAAAAAATGCAAGGGGTACTTCCTTGTGATATTTTAGGAAATAAAGATCATATAAATATGTGTCCTAACTTGCTTCGTTTTCGAGATACAGGGAATTGATATTTCCATGAGAAATCTTTCTTCTATTCATCTCTCAATTGTCTTTTCATCAATTGCAATCAAACGTTGTTGGTTTGTTAAAAGTAATATGGAGCTTTTTCTAGTGCAATTAGATTCCAAATAATATTTCCAGTAGTGTCACAGTGGGTAAATTCATCGATATTCATGGTGAATGTCATTGTACCCCACCGGTTTTTCTGAGTTTCATATTTTTATTAGATTGAACTATTGAAATAACAACTTTTCAATTATCTGTGTGATTTTTGTATCTAGCTTAGTATTTGAGGAAACAATAAAAATTCGATTCGACTCCAAATTTTAATGTAGGTGTTTTCAAGACTTCCATTGAGATTACTCAATAACCCCATTCAGAATCATTCTGAAATTTCGGGGCTTTTTCAGTCTCCATCCATACTGAATTTTAGAATGAATAGAATAGAATAGAATTTTATTCAATAGGATACATCCTAATATTTACAATTCCAACAACATAACAACACACAGCATAACACTAACAGTTTCTTGATTAAATAATATAGAAAAATAAAAATAATCATGGCAAGTCTCTTTGTCTCAGATACTCCTTAATACATTTTTCTAACAGTCTCACATTCTTTTATGCTTTGAGGAAGAGAATGGGGAAGACCACTGAGAGAAGAAATCCGTGCAAACCTCCTTCAATCGACGGATCATGACTTACGTTTGATGTACAATCAATATTATGAGTTAAAGTTGAAGGGAATCGAATCTATATCGTTTTGAAATCAGCATATTTCATTCGATATTTCAAACAGCCAAATATGATGGTGGAGCCGTGACGTATTAGACCCGAACTGTGTCTATCTCTCTCTGATACCTCGTCATTATGCAGTGTTGCAGTGTGATTGGTCAGTTCAAGGACAATAGGCGTGTTGGGAATAAGACGTCGCACCAGTCACACCAATGAATTGACAAAATTTCAAATGGTGCAGGAATTGTGTGTTTTGAAATGGACATATTCTAATTTATTATTTTCATCGTCTTAGCATGAATGACGAAATTCAAAATTAATTCGCTGGTAGTTTTTCAGTATAGAGTTCACGATAATGTCATTTTAAAAAATCAGTGGTCTTCCCCATTATATTCTTTCAGTCCTTTATAAAACATTTTTTTTTTTAATTTGAAGATAAAAATTAATGCAAAAGTTGACAGTCTTTCATTTACAGATTGCCATTGTAACGTTTCCAACATGTTACGGATGGAGGTGCGCCTGTTACATTTCAAAATTATTCGCATTCCTCTGTTTTGAAGTTTCTGTAACCATGAAAGGTTATACAAGGAGGTTTTAAATACAAACAATTAATACTTCCAACTTCAACATCATGTATCTAAAAAACGGAGCAAGTTAGGCCACATGTTTATATGAACTCTATTTGCTAGAATGTCACAAGGAAACACCACTTGAATTTTTCCGGTGTCATTTAGGTACACTCTATATAGTGAAATGCGATTTTATTCAAAATTTGTATTCTTGTAATGAGTGTAAGATAGTAGCGGCTCCTCAGAAGAAGCAACGGATGCCGCAAGAATTTTCATACATCGAATAGTTCAATATACTTGTATAAAATACAGGGTGTCCGCTAAAAGGAGGTCAATCCATTGACCATATATTCCTTGAACAAAAACAAAATGAGTTTCTAAATACCATTTTTTATTTTATCCCTTCATATTTGATATACAGGGTGTCAAAGTTGAAAATTAAAAACTGTTTTTTATTAATTACTCGCGTATTTAATAAGATATTAATCTCAAAATTGGTACATTACTTCAGCACAAAGAGTTACATCGTATGAAGAAAAAAAAACAACATATCTGTCAAATATTCAAAATACTGGGGGTCTAGTACACACTTACCCCTATTTTTTTTGTACGTGCGCTAATGACTTCCTATTTATTTTTCATCAAGTGATCAATCATTTTTGAGTATTTTTTTGTCTCTTGTAAAATTTCGATAAAATTATTTGTTTTTAAGATAATTCGAAAAGTACTGGTTATTGTTTGATGCCTATGCGGCTTACGGTAATCTCATAATGTTCACATACTCCTATTTATTTCGTCGAAATTGGAAGAGGGCGTACATTTTTACGTACGAAGAGGTAAATATGGAAATACAGGGTGCTCAGGAGCGAGTGTATTAAAATAATCAAATATTGTTTTTGTTCAAGGAATATATGGTTAATGGATTGACCTCCTTTTAGCGGACACCCTGTATAACACCGAAATAGCTCACTTATGTTCGTTTTATCGGTTTTGTTTCCTGATATCAAGTAGGATTTGAGAATTTGGCAACAATGCTCTTAAACTTGAAAGTATTCAGTAAATGACAATGAAATTCGCCAGAATCGCGATTTGCGAGGGAGGTGTTTATAAGTTATGGTGTTTGCACTGATGCGCTTCTGTTTTGCCCAAATTTGACGGCAATAAACAGTTGAAAATCGCAATATATAAGGTTTTGTTCGACTTGAAATACATAAGCTTAGAATTTTAGAAAAACATTCTAGTTTTATTGAATCTAAAATTTATAATACAATACCATCAAAATTAAAACGCCTAAATATCATAACTTTCAAAAAAGAAGTCAAAAGTTGGCTTATAGAAAATGCGAAAAAAATCGATGATCTTTTTTAATCAACTCTATTTTTCTTTATCTCAATTTATACTCATTATTGTATGAATTCATCAGGTATTTGTTTTCAGTTTAAGTATTTATATTATGGAAAAAAAAATTATTCGTAAAATACTTCATCTCTTTCATACACAGGTCACTAATCTATGTGAAGGAGATACAATATGAAATATACAGTGTGTCACTCAACACTACAAAAATTTCAAGAGAATCGCACCATTAATAACTGACATATCAGGGTGTATTCATGAAAAGCGGGACACACTGTATATACATGTAATTGATAATCGATGACAAAATGTAGATTTTACTTAATTCAATAAATAAATAAATCTTATTCTAATAGATGTCGCTGTACGAATTCTCTTGGAAATAGAAACTCAATTATCTATCAAATTTGTATTAACTATCAAAAAGGAATAACCTACTTACCTACACCATTCAAGTTTTTTTGTCGTAAGTATGTGATTGTTGTTATTTGGTCCGATGGCTATTGAAAATATGGTAAAAATAATAAGGATATATCTGCGCCTCTTCCGGATTTTCTATGAAGAACCTTTTAAGTGTCGTCAGTGTTTTTCGTAGAATTTCACACTTCCCATTCAGCCTCTCCTGTTGAAAAGAGCACGAGCCGCCACTGGCAATATATTGGAAAGTTTCATAAGTATACAGGTTTTTTAGCAGAATTTTTGAATTATTTGTTTGAATTTTCAGAAATAGACAAAAAAACTCGTTTTCAGACTTCTTTCATCAAATTATTACACTGACCAGGATTAACCTAGAGCCCGCTCAAGTTAGATTTTTCATCGGGATTTAAATGAAAAAATTAGAATCATGAGTTTTTCGTAAATGCTATTGAAACATTTATAAATCGATTCAAGCATAATTTCTGTTCATCCCAGTTGAGGCCAGTGCCCAGAACAACAAAATTCAGCAACATGCTTTTAAAATGTGCCCAGGCGCTCAATTTATATATGCTTTAGATTGAAATTTCACTTTTTTCAGAGTTTTGGGAAAAAAATCACTGATCACATATTAAATCGCCCTATATTTGGTGCTTACGTGTTCGACGCCCAACATTTGAATTTCCCGCTGTGCGCCTGCGCGTTTGCCTATTGATAAGGAAGTGTCTAGTCAACCGTCGATGCGGATAAGTTCTAGATGTCATACGAGAGTGACCGTTTTATATTTGTTAGTTTTTTGCGGAATCAACTAATGAGTAATAATTAAGGTGTATATCTGAATGCAGAAAAAGCATTAGGAAAAATGTCGACTGTGTAAGCAAAGTACTTCGGAAAAAATGTGGAAATTGGAGTCTCGTGTCGAAATAAGACAGCCTCGGCGGTTGTGTAGACATTTCCTGAAAAAGTTGTCAAATGTCAAATTGTCAAAAAAGTTAATTGCAAAAGACAAGCTGACGGTGATGGTGGAATGGTGAAAGAAAGATTTTGTTGATCGTTTTTCCAGTATAATTTGTTGTTTTTTGTCGAAAAAGTGCTATCATTCGCATAATGCGAATTGGTTGAATACAAGAAAAACACAGAAGCAATGGATAACACAATGGATAGTTCTCCTTTCCCAGGAAATGTAATTCTGTTTTGACCATTTTGTAATGACGGAAAGTTGAATCCTGATTCGTAAAGAGTATAAAAATAACTTTTCTATTAATTGAACTAGCTGAAGTTGTTACAGTTTACGTGTTATTAGCTTTTTTTGTGATTCTGGTTGATATTTTTCTATCATTCTGCTAATATATATGTTTGAGGTCTTTCTTTGATAATTATTTCTTAAAAAATTTTACAGTTTGGAATTCTAGGCGTTGTCTGACGAGTGATAGAAATATTATGTCTGCCTAACTGCATCAACTACTGTATTTCCACATCACTTGTGATTTGCAGCTGTTCATAGTTGAAAATCATGAGTTCAATGAACTTCAATGGTATACTTAACTACCTAAATTCTTTCAAATTACAACATGAATTCACACTATTCACAGTGATTTACAACAGAAGGTTTTCTTTGTGGTTCAAATTTTATTATCTACCTACTTGATAGATATCCAGTAATTTCTCTTCTTCCAGAATTGAGGTTAAACATTAGGTGTCAATAAGTGGTATTTTCCATGAAACTCATGTCAGTTTCATCCTAAATCAAATGAAAACACGTTTAACCCCCTTTTTAGGAGACTCAGTTAACTAAAATGAACGACATGGACATATTAATGGAAGATTCCCTAGATGGTGGGCCCCCTTCAGTTGGTTCAGGGGAAATCCCTGTGGTAATCTGCACCCCAGGCGCCAACACTACTGCTACCACCCCTGCAACAACAAAAAAGGTATGTCCTGCCATAGGAATCCATAGGGTAATCCTTGTTGCAGCATGGAGTGTTGTGTATATACTGAGTGTGAATGTGACAATTTGTATGTTTCTATGATTGCTCAATGTTTACATTGCTTTTTCTGAAAAATAAATTCCATGAGTGTATTCAAAATTTTGGTTTTTACTCCAAATGAATATACCTTAATTTTTATAGCCACTAATGAATCAGTTGGGATTATATAAAAATGAAATTAACTTGATGTTGTTTGATACAAGAACATCCTAGTGTCATGCAGTTTTGAATATTTGAAGACAATACAGGTGGTTTTGGAATATTGTTCTTTCATTTCAGGTGGTGATTCTATTGCTTCAAATATAAAGAAAGGTCAAACATGTTTTCTTAGGGTACTATTCTCTAATTATCCCTTTCCCTTTTTTGCAGGCTCCTGTGACATGGTTATTTGCAATATCAAATTCTACATACTATTACTGAATTTTATCATTACAGTGTCAAAACTTATTGGAAAAAAATTCAATTGTTTTTGTTCCCATGTTGATGAAGTGGTTTTTCTTCATATTTTGGGCACTAAAATAAAATTGTGAAATATAATATACAAATGTTATTTTGACACACTTTAATGACCTTTCTCATTAAAATTACTTATCTGATAAACTGCAGAATTGTTTTAGATTGATTTTTTTGATTTCACTGATCCAAGAAAATGAAAAAAAAAACAGAAAAATATGAAGGCACCTGATTTACAATCTCAAATATATCTGAAAAAAGTGTAAAATTCAATTGAAAGTCTCCACAGAGGTTTCCATTTTTAATAATGTTCTACTACATATTGAGCAAATAAATAAATATTGGGAATAAAGTAGGTTATGTTTTCCGAGTTTTTCTATCTAGATATCAATATCTAATTTCTCCAATATGTAAGTAACTCAAAATCATTTGAATATTTTGAAATATTGTTGTAATGAAAAATATATCCATTCTTCTGAAAAGAATAATTTCCTAAGATTTTCTTTTATAATATTTCATTTTTGCGTTTTTTAATGGAATTATTCTAACTTCTGATTTTTATAACTGAACAGGAGGCACCCCCTATTTTTTTATTCAGGAAATTACATACAGTAGAATATTTTTTCTGTCAAAATTATTGAAGTGTTGATTCTTGGCACAGATCTTTAGATTTTACAGGTGGCCGAGACTGCATTGAAATATTTACGTTTTAGTTCCTTTTCAGCGAAAAAACACACTTTCTCTACTTCACAGATCAATATTAACCACTGTCAATCAGTGAATTCCTCGTAGTTCCTTACTATTACTCCTATTGTATATCGAAAACGTCAAATTTTTTCACAAATTACATAATATTCGAGCAATTTATTGGACTTGAAACTAGAAATAATTCTCTGGATGACGGCCTTCAATGATGAATTATTCTTACGCAGTGAAAAAATGAGTTCCTTCTGTGACGGGAAAAAAGTTCGAAATTTCATCTTTGTTGACAGGTTTTAAATTGTCACTTTTCAAAAATAACTTTTTCCCACTTAATTTTATTTTATAGAAACGAGGAGAGAAAATCCCAAAAAATCTGGAATAATGAATATTTGTCACTATTTTTTTTTTTCAATGTTGCGCCATGAAATTATGTTCGCAGATTCGGATACAGCACTCCAAAAAATATGTTAAATGAAAGAAATCAAAATGGGCTTATATAACAAAAAAAATTTATTTCATTATTCGATAGAACTCACCCAAACTAGCTCACCACCGCAAACCATTTCTTGCTGTGAGCTCCCTACGTTTTATAAAAAATTATTGAAATCCCCGATTTTTCGGACCTCTGAAAACGAGGCGATGATGTGACGTCAAAACCCTAATACTGAAACAAGACTATTCCAGACAGAGATGAACGATACATGATTTCTGACAGGGTGAAATAGCGCGAGATCACAGTTGAAAGAATTAATATATCAGTTGCCTCGGTCTCCGTAGGGCGTTTGGTATTTTCTTTTAACTATGGCGAGATGAGGTTTCTATGTCATAAGAGGGTCCGTTTTCAGAAGGTACTAATATTTATGTACAAAAATAAAACATACCAGTTAATTTTTCGATCGAATTATGTCGTCAATCATTATTTATTATAAAAGGATCATTATAAACATGGTTTGAGTTAAAACTTCTAAGGTGTACACGCCCATTACCTCAGAACTCTCCCTCTAGGGGCCTTTTTGATGACACAAAAAATTATTAAAATCATTGGGATATTTAGATACTGAATAAAAACAACTTCAGACAGAGTTTTTATGCATAAACACCAAGCAGTGGTTTTGCTTCTTGTATACTCCAATTGCAATCCAACACAAATTGCGTGCTACTAGGGTGTTTTTGTATCCCGAAAAAACGTCCTTCAAGACACGTTCTCACATCACATCCCCCAAATCCATTGCCTCCTTGTGTGTACACAGAAATCCAACAAGAACAAGGTGGTGACCGGCTACATCCTGTATTCGCGCGAAGTACGCAAACAAGTGGTGCAAAACAATCCGGAATCGACGTTCGGCGACATCAGCCGCATCGTCGGCAGCGAATGGAAGTCGCTGCCGCAGAGCGAGAAGCAGCTGTGGGAGGAGCGAGCCTCCAAGCTGAACGAGGAGACGAAGGCGTTGCTGCTGCTGGACGAGCAGTGCAGCAGCCCTGTGCCGCCGCCGCCTCCTCCGGTGGATCAGGTAAGCGGAATGAGGATGTCGAATTATATCTTGGCAACACTGTTACGCCAACGAATTTTGTTCGAAGCTGTGGAATGTATTTGATCGAATGACAAATTGAACATGATCATAAACATCAGTTTTCTTACCACTAACCTTGTATAATAGGCGAGTGGACACATTTTTTTTATTTCAATTTCATATTCTTTTAGAAATCTTCCGGTTGATTTTAAGGTGGTAATAGTATATTACACACCGAGGTGGCAAGATTCATTCCTGTCGTGAGATTGATTAGTTAGGTTTCTCAATCTCATCATGTCAATCAATGCATCATTGTTGCAAGGTCGTTTGCCTGCAGTCTAGCTCTTCAATAAGGAGACCTTCTAATGATTTTACACATTATTTTCCGAGTTGCTCTCATCGAGCCCTTTCATTTGATACCTATATTGTGGAAGTGCTTTAAAAATAACTATTTCGCCATCTTGGATGGTCCGCAATATTGGATTCAGAATGACGTCATATCATTTTTCGAGTTACTCTCAAGGAGCGCTGTTTCATTTGATACCCATATTGTAGAAGTTCATTATAAATAACTTCCGCCATCTTGGATGGTCCGCCATATTGAATTTAGAATAACTTCACGCACCTCATCGTGCATTATCATCCAAACTAAACCTGTATACTAAATTTCAGCTCAATCGGTTGGGGATATCTACTTTAAAATTGATTTCAAAGATTCCACCCGAACTAACATACATCAAAAGCTTTTAAAAAATCAATTGTCTCAAAATGTTCCCTCATGTGTTGTGGTTTATTGCTCATAATACATTTGTGTGAATAATAATTACTATGTTGATTCACACTAGAGGGAATTTGAACCGATGAACGTGACAACACGGCGCACGAATTGTGGGCGGTGACTTGTCAGTTCTTAGCATTGTACATTGTTGCCAAGTCCTCAATATTTACATGATATTTTGTTATGGAGTATAATAAATATTTGGACATGCTGGTTGCTTGAAAAAGTCAAAAATGGACTAGTAGATAGTAAATCATAAGCTGAGATAGGGGCATGAAAACCGTTTTGGCCAATAATGAATAGTTTTGACAAATAAAATCCTTAAGTTGAGAAAATCTCAATTTTTCACACCCAATCTCTCTGTAATCATGTCAGCTAGACCCCAAGTGTGATAGATCGATGAAATCAGCTCTTCAGGGAGAATCTGAAAATACAATAAAATACAGGGTGTCCTATTTAAAATTTTAAATACGTTGCCCATAAGTATTTTTTGATGTGCTCAACGTTTTCTCTGTTGGTATATGTAAAATCTACAGAAGAAAATATGAAAAAAAAAACGTTCCTTGAAATAAAATTGAACAATACATAGAAAAGTTGAGTGGGTGTTCAAAATATACGTGAAGACCCTGTACCGGGTGAACAAAAGAACGGCTGTCGGCCATATCTCAGCAACGAATAATGATACAAGTTTGAGAGAGAATAAATCTAATGGTATGCATATCATTATACGATGAAATAGATAATCTAAATCTCAACAGACCAACGAAAACCGCAACATGATAGCTTTTCGCCAACGGAAGATATTAACTTCGATATTAACTATCAAACTTGGAAGAATGATAGATATGACAGCCTTTCTACGTTGTTCAACCGGTACAATGAATGAATATGAGACCAGCGATGTATTCAGGGAACCCCCTGAATAACTCTCCTCCCTCCCCTCACCTCTAATAGACTGACTCTAGAAGACAACGCTATGTGGCCCGGCTGAACGACTATCGCTGTATTACCATGGAGCAGGACCCGAACAACTTAGCACGCCTATCCGCTAACAAATTTAGTCTATTTGCCGATACGATATCAGTCTTTTAGATCCCAATCACTCTCCCACACCTATCCCACCCCTCATCCCTGATAGTGTCTTTCACAGAGAATTTTCAGAAGTTGTTTTTTTTTTTATTCTCCAACACAAAAAATGCAAAATTAGAGAGAACAAGGTAGCAATCGACGATCACCTTTTGTCCTGGGCAACTCACTGACATGGGCTGGATTGAAGGTTTACTCCTAGAAGTCAGCTCCCTCATGACTGTCATCAGGGTTGTTAGACAAAAATCGTCGGCGAGACCTACATCGGCTGCCTCTGAGGGCTCCCTTGGAGGGTAATTTTGTGGCGTATCTAAGTGTTTACATTGTATGTTTTACATTTTTATCATGTCCAATGTCCCCTTCAGAAGATTTTTTTTTATATACTCTGTATTGTTAAAATGTTTTTATTGAATAAATGGAATTGAAACGGTACAATGAATGGTGCATTTTATGTTTTTCTTTTCGTAAAAAGATTTTCGAATGCCTGTGGGACAACTGCGACTACCAGTTCGAAGAGGTGGCCGATCTCATCGAGCACTGCATCAAGGACAAGGAGTCGCAAGGGCACGTGCAGGCCTTCTATCAGGAGAACCAGGGCTCCGACTTCAATTGCTATTGGCGCAACTGCAGCAGGAACAAGAAGAACGTGCAGCCGTTCCCGAACATCCAGCGGCTGATCAGGCACATTCGCGATATGCACATCAACAAGGGGAATGGTAGGAGTGTGGCACCGGAAAATAGAAACAAGTGAGTGTGTGTGTGTGTTTTCTTGTTTTCCTGCTGTTTTGTATGTGATCGACCAAATAATCACGAGTTTTATTTTTATTTATTTCAGTAATTGCATTACATTCTCTTCTTCATTGATACATTTCATACAAATGATATATAAAGTATAATTAATTTTCTAATAGTCATCATATGAATGATCAGACAGTAATTCCTGATATAAGATCATTCATAAAGTATTATCGACTGTTGTATAATTGAAATTACAAATAGTGAACAAAACTTGCATATCATTAAGATATCTCAAAATAACTGTCATATTATAGTGAACAAGAAGGAAAAAAAACAGTGAAGGATAAAAATGAAATTCATAGTCACTCAGCTTTCATCATTCCTTTGCATATAAATATATTTCTTCACTTTATTTTTGAATTGTATAATATTTGGGCTGTTTTTGATATCATCTAGTAATTTATTTATTCAACAGCGAAATTCTGGAAAAATACAGGGTGTCCGTAAAGAACACGTGAAACCTAGGTAGAATGTAGATCAACGGATAACCCTCCTGCTATGACAAAATTCCCATTATAAAAGTCTTACCGTATAGATATATTTTTTATAAATATTGAATTTTTGCCCCTTTCAATAGTTCTGTCTGTACGGTTGGTACAATTTTACACCTTCTTGGTTAATTTTTTCAGTAATTATTGCTGAAGAATGATCTTAACGTAACATTCTTGGAACATTTCAAAGGGGGGCTGTGAGAAATATTTTTGTTGAAAACCTTGGTACTGGATAGTTTCAACAAAAAAAAATCTCGAAAACGAAAAAGACTTTTATAATGGGAATTTTGTCATATGCAAGTGGGTTATCCTTTGATCTACATTTTCCCTAGGTTTGACGTGGTCTTTACGGCACACCCTGTATGTCTCATACTCGTTGTTGTTGTACTTTTCAGTGGAACACTTCTTTCATGTTGACTTTCAAACGTTCTAGGAACGATTCCGATTTGGACTCAATTTTTACCCACTTTGAACAGACCGATTGATTTGAAATTTGATCATGAAATTTTTGTTAGACAAAAAATCAAAATGGCGGCCCCAATATGGAGGACGGGTTATGTGATTATGATCCTATTCTATTCAAAATTGATATCTGGGGGTTTTCGTTGTCGGAGATTATGATTCTGTCGTCAAAGTTTGGAAATTCAAGATGGTGGATCCAACATGGCGGACGAGTTTTGGTATTATGATCCGAATCTATTCAAAATTGGTATCTGGGGGTTTTTCGGGATCAGTGATTATGATTATTTCGTCAAAATTGTTAAATTCAAGATGGCGGATACAATATGGTGGACGAGTTTTGTAATTATATGTTCTGGTTCTATTCAAAGTTGATATCTGGGGGTTAATGAGGTCGGAGATTATGATTCTTTCGTCAAAATTGGGAACTTACAAAAAAAGAACTAAAAAACAATTTTGTAGTAAGCCGAACTAAAAAATAGAAAATAAATAGTAGTTTGAAAAACTAAACAAACACCCTTTCATAGATAGCCAAATTGTTGTGTTTTTCAGTGAAATTTTTTTCTCATGTTGGCTTTGAAATACAACTATCAATTCTACTCAAACACTTGTAACTTTTTTCAATTTCCTGAAATTGTTCTGTGAACTTACTCTTATACAAGATAGATGTTTTCAGAGATGAGGTAAATTTCTATCCCACCAAAAATCGTCTATACAGAGAGATGCTTTTCAATGCAGAAAAAAACATATGGCTTAAACTGCTTCAGGGTGTTGAAGTTTTGTGCACGAAGACATCGCGAGTTCAACCGTGAAATTCTGTTGCTTGTTATTGTGTTTTTCAGTCAGTTTTTTTTCCTGTCAGATTTCAAAGAGGATTTTTTACGTTAACATGTTGACTTTTGAACGTTTCTGGTACGATTCTGATCCCTTTTTCAATACAAAACGAACTTTGTAAACAATTCGTGTCTTGCGATGACAATTAAAGTTCTAGTTTGTTGAATAACGACTAATTCTACCCTTGAGTGACTAATAATATTAATCATTCTTATCAGAGCAATGAAGCCAGAAATTCTATTCAGTAGGGGGCAGTATCTATGAGCGACAAGATGAACTACTTTTTGTTGAGTAGCGAAGGGTAGGGATCGGTAATGCAGAATATATTCCAAGTTTATTTTTGATGTTTTTATGCAGCAAAGAATGTCGCATCAGGGCCGGATGAAAATATTTGTATTATTAAAGTCAGAGTCTCAAAGGTAGTAATTCTCCTGCTTTAGAAAGAAAGATATTTCTAGATAGTTCAGCAACTCGGTCCTATTTTGCTGAGTTTTGCTTGCGAATTAGCCAAGAACTAAGGCCAAATTTGGCATTCATCATTTTAAATGGAGGTGGATCACCTGTCTGTAAATGCTGACAATCAAGCTTTCTTCTCAAACACTTGTGACTTTTCTTTTCTTGATCTCCAGATATTTACATTTGATCTAGAGAGTTTATTCCATGCAGAGATAACATTTTCGAATACATTATTTAGGTATACGAAAATACTTCTTAAAATTTTGGGCACAAAAAATAACCAACAGATTTTTTCCAAATGACTTTTCCTTTTCATTTCTCTTTGATCCTACTTCTTTTTTTCTCAAAAACAAAGTGAGATAGGAACGTAATCAACAATCCAAAAAATTATCTTTCCATTTGCTTTGATAAAAAATTTAAATTTCTACTGAGTGTTATTTCCCGTGCACAAAATAATATAAATATAATAATAAATAATTTCCCTTCAGAGTAAATAAATATTTTCCCCTGATAGTAAACTCCAATAGGTCCTAAAGTTTTCTACAAACTGTGAAATCCTATTATCTTTTACAACTTATACTCTATCTTATAACGGACCATTTCCGAACATCTGTATGTTAAGACTTTTTATCATAACAGATTATTTTTTGTTATGCTCGATATAGATTGTTGATAGTAAAACGAATTTTATAAACAGGAACTATATCGGAAATCGAGTAATGCCAGTTTTGCAGCCGGCAGTATCAACAGCTGCCGAAATATTAGCTGGTTGGTTGATATTGAATACATATGGATGGCATGTGCTTGCTAGACCTTTGAATATTGTTTGTCCTTGATACAGTGTCATCGAAAAATAAATAAATCGCAGGAGCCTTTGACAATAAATGACTTCGGCTATTCATTAAATTATGCCAGCTTTCACATAAATTACTAAATTATTTTAATAATGTTTGAGATTGAACATAACTTTTTTCAGAAAATCGTCATAAGATTTTTTTTTGAGAACTACAAGTTGATTGAAAAACGTTTAATCTGTTTAATCAAATCATGAGATCACTTCATTGAAATTACAGCCAACAAGAAGAAGCATTCAAAATTCCATAGACTCATGTGATGACTTACTTTTTTGGTCATGCTGTTTGATGTTTTCTTCATTCTCCAATATAATTTGTTGACCTTGTCTGTGATGATTCATCAATTCAAATCACTAATACTAGGTATATTGTTTCATTAGGAGGATTGAATACTTTGACGAGCGAAATTTGCTAGTCAAACAACTTTCAATACAAATGAAACATTTTCTGCAACCGACAAAACCTTATAGGAACTCATTCAAACTAAACATTTTACAACACTTTGAGCTCCTAGGATCAAAAGTACTTCCAACCTAGAATGAGATTCAAAATAATTGATAGTTGAAACTCAACTTCAGCTCCAAGACTCTGATAGTGTCATTTATTATATCAGCAAGAGTAAGGTCAACTTCAAGAGCTGATTTTGGAATTAAAGTCGACGACTTTTGAGTCGTTTTTCAGGCGGTTGCAGAAAAAAAAATTTTTTTTTATTCTTAAATTTCACTCAATGAAAATTTTCATGATGTTTGAATAGATGAATTGAGCAGTTTGAATGTAGAGATTGCATATGAGTTTATTTTTTGATGTTGTGGTAGGAACTTCAAGCCTTCCAGTAAGCCCCAAGCTGTCAATCGCCCAACATCCTCTGCTACTCCCAACCCTCGTGAGTTTTTTTTATTATTTTTTTCTCTCCAAATCAGTGTAACTGTCTCACCGCCATATGAATCTAAATATTTTTTGTGATGATTTGATGACGAGAACACCTGTGGCGGCGTGACAGTTACTTATATATTTTTTTCTGTAGTTGTTTGTTTTTTGTTATAAATACACAGTGACCCCAAAAAAGTATGCACAATATCAAAAACTCTTGTTTATGTTTCCCAAAAAAATGTATGTTGGAGATGAAAATGTTTGCATCTTCAGAGGTTTCAAGGAAAGCACAAACTTTTATCATAAATAATATTCTACGATAATACTATTCGGTGGTCACTGTTGTATTTGGTGTTCATTCCAAAAGTATTAATATTAGCTGTCATTTCAGAAGCTTGTGAATCTTCTTTATTAAGAAAAATTCACGATAAGCTACAGAATTGTCAACGATTTTAAAATAAATGTATATATGCTGACCAAATTCGATGTTTTCCAATTTACCTCGATTTCATCCTGTGATGAACGTTTTATTGTCCAAAAAAATTTGCAAGCATTTCGTGAATATAGAATTTTTCAACTTCTCATTTTCCTTATTTCCCATTACTAAAAGTAAACACTGAATTTGGTCTGCTTTGTATTTAAAGTGATTTCAAATATGTACCAATATGCCGAAGTAATTTAAACTGATACCAGCAATGGGCGTGTACACCTTGGTAGAACTTTTAACTCAAACCATGTTTATAATGATCCTTTCATACATAAATAATGATTGACGACATAATTCGATCGAAAAATTTACTGGAATGTTCAATTTTTGGACATAAATAATAGTACCATCTGAAAACGGACCCTCTTATGACGTAGAAACCTCATCTCGCCATGGTTAAAAGAAAATACCAAACGCCGGACGGAGACTGAGGCAACTGATACATTAATTCTTTCAACTGTGATCTCGCGCTAATTCACTCTGCCAGAAATCATGTATCATTCATCTCTGTCTGGAATAGTCCTGTTTCAGTATTAGGGTTTTGACGTCACATCATCGCCTCGTTTTCAGAGGTCCGAAAAATCTAGGATTTCAATAAATTTTTTATAAAACGTAGGGAGCTCACATCGATGAACGGTTTGCTGTGGTGAGCTAGTTTGGGTGAGTGCTATCGAATTATGGAATAATTTTTTTTTGTGATATAAGCCCATTCAGTGTTCTAATTCATCCAAAATTGTCTTCCTAAAACAGCCAAGTAATCAACACCTTTCTTCAATGGCAACTGGTACATATTCAAAATCCATCCTGTATAATAGGTTTGCATCATTCTCCATAATGTAAAAGCTTGAAGTATCATTTTAGGATAGTGTATTTGTAATCAGTAGAACTCCCACACATATTTTTGTTGTTCAGTATGATTTCACAAAGTAGTAGAAGTAGTTGACTTTGGTTTTGGGGCATCCTGCTGTAAGTAGTCAAATTGTCTAATTTTGCAAAACGAAAATGAAATGAACTAATGTTGATATTTTTGTCATTTTTGGAACAGCAGCTAGTAGTACATTTAACTCGAGTTCTGGGAGTCATTCTACGCCAATAATTACAGGTAAAGACGAGCAATAATTCAATACATATGACTATATTAAAATGAAAAAAAAAAACTTATGATTTTCAAATATACAGTGTGTCCCGCTTTTCATGAATACACCCTAATATGTCAGTTATTAATGGTGCGATTCTCTTGAAATTTTGGTAGCGATTGTTTGTTAGAATAAGGAAGTATTCAGCAGAATGAACAATTTCATTCACCATTGGCGTGCGATGTTGAGGGGTACGCAAATGGCCTTCATTTGGGAAAAAGGTATTACGACTCATTTTAAATAACTTTTTTCATCGCATTCATAATCAGCATCCCCAAAAACCCCCCAATTCATATTTTCAAGATCCCAAGAGCTAAAATAAAATATTTCGAAATCCCGCTTTTCATGACAACACCCTTGAATCTATCTCAGTTATCAACGATGCGATTTTCTTGAAATTTTGATGCTGATTGTATGTTAAAAAAATAACATACAATCATCATCACAGTTTCGAGAAAATCGCATCATTAATAACTGAGATTTTGGGGCGTAATCATGAAAAGCGAGATTTTGAATATTTCTTGAGATTTTGAAAATATGAATTGGGGGGTTTTTGGGCATGCTGATTCTGAGTCTGATAAAAAAACAGTTTTTCAAAATGAGCCCTAATATCCTTTTTCCGAATAATGGCCTTTTTGTACCCCTCAACATTGCACGCCAATGGTGACTGAAACTGTTCACTCTGCTAAATACTTCATTCTTCTATCATACAATCACCACTAAAATTTCAAGAGAATAACATCATTAATAACTGAGATATCAGGTTGTATTCATGAAACCGGGACACACTGTATACAGTGAAGATGATTAAATATTAGGTTAATAGATAACTATTCAATACTGTGAGCCCTATATTATCGAATTTTGTTTGTCACTAACATTCAAAATCATTCCTCATCATCAATCAATTAATATAGGTATTTAAGTTAATTTTCCGTTCATTGAAATTTCTGTGGATTGAATGGTAATTTTTTCAGCTACTGTGGCTGCATCAAGCGTTTTGGCACCTACTGCTCAAAAAGTCCAAGAACCCATGTTTATATCGGTACCACCGAGGCCGCAACGTGTGCTACATTCTGAAGCGTACATCAAGTAAGTACTCACTATTAAACTTCTTCTTACATGCTAATTTGTCTTCCCTCTGAAGATACTCTTTTCTAGTCACTGAATTCGCAATAGAAAATACACGTCGTTTCACCTGACGGCAGGAACTTGACACTTCTTTGCGGTTTGTTAATAAAAACAAAGTAAACATGCCGCTTTGACAGCTTTCACGAACTCCGATAGGTGGTGTACGCTTATTTTCTATCGCGAATGGTATTAGTTAGGACACAGCCCGACTTCTGTCCTCTTCTATATTCTATATTACATATTACTATGGTTTGAGTGAATAAAAGAATAAGACATTATATTCTGCTCTTCGTCTTTTCAATTTCCCAATTTTAGAGGTTAGATTTCCTATCAAATCAATCATAGCCGTAGATGGACAATAGAAATAGGGTATAAACACAAAATTCAATTTGAATAGCGATACATTTTTCGAAGAACAATAGTTATAAAAATGAAAAGAATTCATGTAACATTTTAATATGACAAGATAGACACATATGGTTATACTTATATTCCTTATTGTATGTAAAACTGTACCTGAGTGGTTAAGTTTAAAACATGAAGATTGTTCTGATTTTCACCTTTTGCTGCATTCACTTTTCACTGATTAATTTTGAATTTGGTCGGTATTGAAAACGCAATTCAATGATATATCCCGTTGCAATTTCCCTGATTTCCTCAGTTTCGTTCTCAACTTTTCAATTCCATTATGTAGTTTTGCAATCAATTCCTCTTTCTCTATGATAATTTTGTTTTGCATTTCGTGTGATGATAATATTGGATTTTTTTCAATAGTATGTTTTGTAAATCAATGGAACAGCAGATTCCTTTCAACGGATCTTAAAAATCTTCTGTTTCATTCCAATCTGCTTATAGGAAGTGAGTTTTGTACTTACCTCACAAACTTTGCTTGTCTTCAAATTAATTTTCTATCCAGGCCGTTTCATACATTCCTTTCATAAGGAAATGGTTGATTGTTCCTTTAGAAAATTAAAGAAATGAAATCGCCATTCCCTTCAGAATCTCCGCAATTCATTACACAGCAGGACATTTTCATTTATGCTCTTTTCTCAATAGTTCTATGATGTTGTCACAATGCAAGGTGTGTAACTTAATGAATCTAAGTGACTACTCTTTTCAAGATTCCAGAAATGGTGAAGTTTCCTATATTCAAATTTTAATTTCTCTGAAGTTTTGAAAACCCATTTTATATTTGTTTCTCATGTGATCAGACAAAAGTTAACACTAACAGTTAGTGGAACATTAAACCACTTAGAGAATTACAGGTGTTGCGATAGTCTACAGAATTCTGACATGGTGTCTTTTCCGTAAGCATATAGACGTAGGGGTATATGCACGACGTACTCGCAAGGTATGATTGTTGAATCTACCTATACACCTTTGCACTTAAGCCGCTAGATGGCTATGAAGGCTAGATTGTCCTTCTGACCCCTCAGGACTTCGATTTGTATAATATATGGAGTTACCCTTCGTGAATCGATTGTCAGCTGGCCAGTGCAACTGATGAGACTTATGGCAAGTCGAAACAGTCTGTCTTGCATCAGCTGACAATCAATTCACGAAATTTCCCTAGAAAATCTCTTATTCTTGAGATTCTAGGTTTATCACCATCTGTTAGTGTTGCGAGAGTCTACAGAATTCTGACATGGTGTCTTTTCTGTGGGCATATAGACGTAGAGGTCTATATGCACGAGGTACTCGCAGGGTATGATTGTTGAATCTACCTTTACACCTTTGCACTTAAGCCTCTAGATGGCTATGAAGGCTAGATCGTCCTTCTGCCCCCTCAGGGCTTCGATTTGTATAATATATGGAGTTAGCCTTCGTGAATCGATTGTCAGCTGGCCAGTGCAACTGATGAGACTCATGTCGAAACAGTCTGTCTTGCATCAGCTGACAATCAATTCACGAAATTTCCCTAGAAAATCTCTTAGTCTTGAGATTCTAGGTTTATCACCATCTGTTAGTGTTGCGAGAGTCTACAGAATTCTGACATGGTGTCTTTTCTGTAAGCATATAGACGTAGAGGTCTATATGCACGACGTACTCGCAAGGTATGATTGTTGAATCTACCTTTACACCTTTGCACTTAAGCCTCTAGATGGCTATGAAGGCTAGATCGTCCTTCTGCCCCCTCAGGGCTTCGATTTGTATAATATATGGAGGTACCCTCGTTGAATCGATTGTCAGCTGGCCAGTGCAACTGATGAGACTTATGTCGAAACAGTCTGTAATCTCTTAGTCTTGAGATTCTAGGTTTATCACCATCTGTTAGTGTTGCGAGAGTCTACAGAATTCTGACATGGTGTCTTTTCTGTAAGCATATAGACGTAGGGGTCTATATGCACGACGTACTCGCAGGGTATGATTGTTGAATCTACCTTTACACCTTTGCACTTAAGCCACTAGATGGCTATGAAGGCTAGATCGTTCTTCAGCCCCCTCAGGGCTTCAAAGAGTAAATTGTTCATATAAAATTGAACTGAATTTCAGATTTTTGTTTTATGTCAACCATTTTTCAAAGAAGATATGATGTAATTTACTGAAGTAACAATGCCACTAGCACCCTCTATGAGCAATCAAAAAAAAGTTACAAATTTGTAAATCTCAAGTCAAAAAATCTAACACTACAAAATTTCATGTTCATACTGCTAAAACTTACAAGTTGAGAAATTTTAAAATGAAATCTTCCCCTTAATCACCCTGGTGTATCTCCTAAACTAGCAACATTTTTATAAGGCATATGAGGCCGAGGCTAAATCTTCATAGATTGGTGTTTACTATCTGTAGTTCAGAGATAACCCATTCTTAATGAATATTGAATTTCTCACAAAAATCTGTTTTTCTGAAGTCACAATGATAGTTTCACGAAAGAAACATTAGAAGATAACTTACTGTATATAAGTTTTTGTGATCACGAAGAATCGGAGATTTCAAAACAAATATAAAAAACAGGGTATTCAACTCTGGTTGGAAAAATTCATCCTGGATCTCTTAGTTATGAGATCTAGCAGCTGAATAGGTCGGTGGAAAAATCCACTCAAGTATACGTCAGGTAGTGCTATCTGTCAGCCGAGTGAAGTACCACTCTGTAACGTATAGAAGTAAGGGTATGTACGTGTGACTATAGATGGCAGCGCCATACAGTGTGTATCGCGATCTCTTGATCCTACCTTACAGCTTTGCCACTAGATGGCTACAACATGACTAGAACTTCATGTGATACCCTGCGTCTTCGAAATGGGTGACATACCCGAAGCGTAGAGTTGTCCCAGTTGTCAGCAAACCGAGAGCGGCTGATGATACCTGGTGGGTCGAAACAGTACTGTCTCGTTCCTGCTGACAATTGGGGCAACTCTGTTCAATCTGGATTTCTGTTATGAAATCTAGCAGTTGAAAAAAAAAGGTGGATGACTATGTATCTAATTTTTGTCTTATCAATGATTGATTGTTTATGAAATCTCAAGAGATATCTAGAAATAGTTGCATTTTCTTATTGTACACAGGCTTATAAACTACAAAACCTAGGAGGAAAATTGTTCCGGTGAAAATTATAGTCCATAAGATGATCGCGCTGTTACTTCACTTCGTGCGTTAAAATGTTTGTTTTCCAACTCCTAATTATCCCAAATTAGGCCGCCACACTGTAATTTTGTAACATAGAGTAATGTTGGCTGTATGTTTTAGGTACATCGAAGGTCTTCAAGCGGAAAACAAGCACATCACCTCCTGGGAGAGGAGTTTGCAAGCTACTCAGGAGAACACTCCTGCCCCGGATTTGGAGAAATTGCAACACGTGGCAACGTGGCTCGGCCGCAAAGCGGATCAACACGACAACGTCGTGGCAGCCCTTTGGTCTTTGCGCAATCAGTTGTTGAAAGATACCTTAGGTTTACATAAGACTTTGTAATTATTATATTAATAATTTAACTTATTGACCTCTTAGTGATTTTTTTTTTCTCTTTCTCTGCTCAGTATGTGGAAGAAACGATTTGTTTATTGTTACATTTCATATTATATTAGGTGTGTATTATTTTTCAATTTTATATAGAAGAAATATATGAATGATTGAAGTACCTAATTCTTTTCTTTATAGTATTCTTTTCAGCCTTCCTACTATTGAAATATTCGCAGAGTTGGAATCTGCCGAAAGGAGACGGTCAACTCAGCTTATGCGCGATAATAAGCGAAAATGAGCGTACGCCACCTATCGGGGTTCATGAAAGCTGTCATAGGGGTCTGTTTACTTTGTTTCAATTGGTTCACTTTTTGTTTAAGTTAAAACTGATCGCTCAGAAGTATTCCAGTTGTTGCCGTCAGGTGGGGCGACGTGTTATTTTCTATCGCGAATTAGTGATATTTCAATCTTTCTCATAGCGTTTTCCACTCGCTGATTTACAGAGCGCACTAGCACAGAGCAAGTACATTTTTCCACCCGTGACTTGAATTTTTGAGGTTATGTTTATCGCACCGTCGTACAAGCACAGTTCTGAAAACTCGAACTCTGAGCGGCCATCGAGCAAGTTTGAAAGCCAGTGGAAATCATTTCTCGACAAAAGTTCGCTCCTGAAATCCTCAGTGGACCACACAAAACGCACTCAGTGCCGAAAAAGTTCGAGCTATTGCGACGATGGAAAACGCTCGCGATAGAGAATAACACGTTGCCCCACCTGACGGCATAAACTTGAACACTTCTGAGTGGTTTGCTTTGATGATATGACCAATGAGCATGAACAAATGACGAATGGGAACCAATAAAAACAAAGTAAACAGGCCGCTTTGCCAGCTTTCAAGAACTCCGATAGGTGGTACGCTCATTTTCTATCACGAATGACTCATCAGGAATCTTTCAATATTTGTTAGTCATGAGGATTAAATGTCCCTCATTTGGTAAATCACATCAGTTGTGTAATCTCTTTTCTTGTGACGAAAATTCGATTGCTTAGTTGGAACCATAATCGGGATTTTCGTGATCAAGTGAAAAATTCCGTTTTTATAAAATACCTCCTGAACCAATCCAGTACAGAGGGGGTTCACCTTACATACGGTCCGATAGTTCTGAATTTTTGATATGTTATCTAGGATGGTTATGGAGGGTTTAAAATGCAAAATGCACAATTTTACCCCCTCCGCGCCCTCGGCCATATTGAAAAAACCCAAAGAAATCGGCACATCTTTCAGATTTTCGGGTATATCTTCGTTTTGGTGCATTTAAGCTACAAATGAGCTCCATTCAATGTTGTAGAGAATTGAATTTCCTATAATTCTCGTTTCGAATTTTGTTTCTAGGACTGATAGTCACGATTTTTTATAAAATGAAAAAACGTTCCGGAATTTCGTCAAGTACGAAGTACGTTCAGCGACACTATGGCACCAATGTGATGGTAATTTTTGATGGCTACACTACAGATCCTTCTCAGCAAGGGACCAAGATTGCTGAACAAGCAAGAAGGTACAAGACAAACTCATCATCAAACGTGGTGTTTGACAAAACCACTGTCAACACCGTACCTCAGGATAAATTCCTGGCCAATGAGGGAAACAAGGACCGATTTGTGAAGCTGCTCTGCAATGAAATGCAAGCGTCAAATACAGAAGCTTCCGAAGATGCTGACAGGTTGATAGTTGCCACAGCTAAATGTCTGTCCCCCACGTACGACGCCGTCATCATTGTCGGAGAAGACATTGACCTACTCGTCCTACTGACTGGCACAACACCTGCGGCTAACAATGTCTACCTCGAAAAACCAGCGAGAGGGAAACATCCAGACACAATCTACTCCGCCTCCTCCTACAAGTACAACTCCAAAGGCTGTTTCTTGCTCCTGCACGCAATATCGGGCTGCGACACCACATCTAAAATTTCTGGGTTCGGAAAGAATAAATTCTGCCAACTTTTTAGGAGAGACCCATTAAGCAGAGAGGTTCGAGGACCCTGCTGCCAGTCCCCAAGAAATTTCAGTAGCAGGGGAGAGAAACTTGGTATCCCTATATGGTGGCAGTAAAGAACAAATTTCCGGAAAATGCGATTTTTTACATTTTTTAAAAGGTTCATATCTCCGTAACTATCAGTCCTAGGATCAAAATTCAAAACGTGAATTATAGGAAATTCAATCCTCTACAATACTTAATGGGACTCTTTTGTAGGAAAAATGAAACATAACGATAATATAAGCGAAAATCTAGAGAAAGATCCTATTTTTTTGGTTTTTTCAATATGGCAGTGGGCGCGGAGGAGGAGGAATAATTGTGCATTTTGCATTTTAAACACTCCATAACCATCCTAGATAACATATCGAAAATTCAGAACTACCGGACCGTTTGTAAGGTGAACCTCCTCTATTCACTAGATTAAATATTGGTAACAGGAGAGCAGAAGTGGCTAAGGGTTAAAGAGGTTTCGTCCTCTTTTTATTCCGTCATCAAAACATCAAAAATTGAAGGCAAAATCTTATTGTTCAAATACTAATGAATCAGGGAATTGGAAAAAACATTGTATTGTAAACTTTATCAATACAAATCACAACTTAGACATTAACTCTATACAAGTTTGAAACATAACATAAAACTATGAAAGCATAGAAGGGACTTAGATCTCGGAAAATTGCGACTTAGTATCACAAAATTCCGACAACTTATCACAGAAGAATTAGCTAATTCTGTGATAATATGCAGGAATTCTGTGATCAAAGTCTGAATTCGGTTCGAGAAATAAAATGCGTGACCCCTCTACTCTTCAGCATGAAACAATCAATGTAACTTGAAAAAATAAAAAAAATAAACGAAAACTCTAATGGAATGAAGAGAACGAACGAAAAATAAAAAAAATCTACTTCATCTTCAGGATACCACTATCAATCAACGATTGATAAAACGAAACCTCATCCGCATTGAAAATTTCCACGAGCAGCGGCTCCTTCTCCACCACCCGCACGAACTTATCCTTCCCAAACATCTTCCTCGTATGTTGATGCACATGCTCCAAATGATTGTCCGTCTTCAACGCGATATCCACCAGCGCAATGTGGCAAGGAACAGGCAGATCGAACCATTCCGGCCGCATCATTTTGATCTCCTCCGTAGACACGGAATCCACGTTGCCAAAGTCCACGAAATAAACGAACACGTAGTTGCAATCCACGCCATCTATATTGTAGATTTGCGCCCGGTACCAAATACCGTCTTCTGCGTAGCGACAGACACACGCCATGCCGACTTCGAATTTCTCCAGGACCGGTTGTTTTTTAATGCCCTTTTGGATTTTCGAGCTGAGGGCGAAAAAGGCGGGCGGCAGCTTTTTCGAGGGGTTTTTTAGTACCACCTTGTTGTAGGTCAGTACCGCCATCACGGTCATTATGCTTTTGTCGGTGAAGGCTTTTGCCGGTAGCGGTTCCTGGTTGTATTTCATCGCGGTAGTATCTACTGTGCTGGCGTCATCGTCCTGTGAAGGAAATTATTCATTAAAATTGATGATTGGCAAGGTTTTCGAAGCATTTAGTTTTTTTTATCTCTTGGAGCGCACGAAAGAAACTTTCAAAAAGGTTCGTGAAACATCGCGCGTTTCTAAAGATGACATGCAGAATAAGTTGTCGCCGAATGGCGATTATGCTAGTTGTGCGGGTAAAAAGTACCCTGTACAACTTGCATGATGACAATCAGGTGCGAGTTTTGAATATCCCCCCGGTTCGCCGCGGGAGGGAGAGAGACATATAAAAACCTCTCGATCAGTTAACAGTATTTTTAAAATTCCTTTGTGAATATCGAATAAACGGAAAGAAGGAAAACATTCTTTCTGCATGAGGAGACAACCTAAAATTATATAACTAATATACAGGATGTTTCAAAAGTCACAATCAAAATTTCAGGGGCTCAATTTTCAGGTCAGAATAGACTTTTTTACCTATAAACATGTTTCAAAAAACGCTTCGTTACTCTACAGAGAGCATTGTTCTATGCTTTGATTTTTTTATTTATTGCAGTTAGACTGCAGTGAGAGTGCAAACAATGTTACGGTTTCAAAAATGAAAAAAATAACTTTTGAAATAATAGTTATTCATTATACGAAGGATGTATAATACACTTCTTTTTTCTGTGACAGAAGAAAGGACGAATCAATATTGAGAAGATATTACATTATTTTGAAATCTGAAAATTATCGACGTGAAATTTCACACACCAGCGTTGTAGGCATCTTTATCATTCTTTTGGAGTAATCAAATATCTGATGTCACTTCTGTCAGTCTGATTCTGGGATTTGATTTCAAAAAATTGCGAATTTAGTGGTTGTTTAGTAGTATACGTAACCGCGAAGTCGTATGGAAGATAAAAGGACTTGCAGTTCTTTCTCGGAGGCGGTATTATTGACTCATTTTTCGGAACTATAGCACAACAAAAGCCATCAACAGTGTATATATATGTGATAAATATCCGGGAAAAAAGTACTCACTTTTTTCCCACGGGAAAAAAGTAATTTATGAAAAGTGACATTTTATAACCTACCAACAGAGATGAAATGCCAAACCTTTTTCCAGTCACAGAAAAAAACAAATATATCTCTCAGCTTGAACATTCAAAGAATTATTGCGGGAATGAAAAAAAAATCCTTATGGAAGAAATACAAACCTAGGTAAGGTACAAACGTTGTAGTATTAAATAACATGCAACTTAATCATCTGGGTTTATTGAAAATGTTCACATTCTATACCTTTCTGGTAGAATATTTGTTATTCATCTGCAAGGCCAATTATTCAATTGAAATTTATCTCTATTGAATTTACCTTGAAGAAATAAACATGTAATATTTCTTCAAATGATGAGTTTTTTCTAGTTTATGAATCCTATAATAGTAGGTAGATTTCAGCAAGTGGCGATAGCACTCTGATGGCAATAAATTATTTGAAATTGTGAATTTTTCTCCAATGAATATTGTCGATCTAGATGAGAGGATACCTCTCGCCTACTAACTATATCTTTTCCATTCAGATCGACAATGGTAAGGCGAAAAATCCAAAGTTATTATCACAAGGGAATTTTTAAAAACCGACACGGAGACGAAACCAAACTGAGTGAGAGGTCATAATATATCCTCTCTCCCGCAAGGAACCGAGGAGATATTCAATACCCGCCATTCAGGTTGCCAGAGACGAGTTTGAAACCGTGAAAACTTCCTTCCGATGGATAAGACTCCATATTTGGGGATTGAGCAAATCCTGTTACGCATGAACAGGTGAAAAAGACACCAGAAATTGTACTTTAAATCCCAACAATTTTTCCTTGACATATTTACATCGAATTTTGAATCACCCTGTATGGTCATTACTAATTTTTTCCATGCGTAAAAGTGAGTTCCCAAAACAGCGTTTTTGCTTTTCGCATCACGTGCCAAGATCACCGATTGGTGACGCGTAATTGAGAGTTGCTGCACAGCTTTTATATTTAGTTCCCAATGAAATTACGTTTTATTGTCGGCATTACTGAAATTTTACATCTAAAATTACGAGGGTATCTGAGAATGCTGAAAATATAGAACATTTTCAACTCAAGCTTGACCTACCAAAGTGTGCACCAACAGCAAAGACAAAGGGTTAATAGTAACGGGTCTACAATAATGATTAAACACAATGTGACCATATTCGTATCCAACCAACAATACATTTTTGTTATTATGTTTACTCAGGTAACATCATCATATATGTCATATTAGCACCTTGGATCATTCATGGCTGTAGTTTCCAGTGTTAACGTTCTGTGGTTCACGTCCTTCGCAATTTCATTGGCTCGTTAACTTGTCATAGCAGCCCATAAGGCAAGCTTGTTTAAAAAAAAATCAAAAACAGCAATGTTGGATTGCAAATATGTCTCTTCAATTTTGTGTTTTTGAAATTTATACTGCACGGCTGTAGCTCATTAGCACCCAGTAGCGCTTTGTTGTCTTTTCTCCTGGGTTTGTTGATAGTTTATATGGTTCTTGATTTTATTTTATTGTTCTTGCATTTGATTATTTCACTTATAATCATTACTTTGCGAAAAACAGTTTTTATCAAAATTACATCTCCAATTCATTGTTGTGGAAAGATAATACCACTAATTAACCTCTTGTTGTTATTGTTCATGTCCTTATTTTTCTTTCAGGATTAAACATGTTTTTTTTTTCTGGTGAAATAGATGCCTTCTTACTGATGGCACATTTCAGAAGCGGTACTCGTAATCCTGATGGAACGTGGACATATTCACTTTCAATTTCATTTCCAAATGCAAATATCCCATACGCTTATGTTTTATTTTGATAGCAGCTGTTAATTTCTAGTTATTTATCAACCAACTGTGCAGTGTTGGTTGCAAACACATTTTGGTCACGTGGTGTTCAATTATTGTTAAACACCTGGTATATTTCAACATCATCTGTAATAATATTTATTTAATCACTGTATTCGATATCAGGATGACGGCTAATCAATATGGATAGACTCACCCCTGAAATGTCTTTGTCATCTCCCTCCTCCTCAGCCTCAACGACGGACTCCTCCTCTATAACCACTCCATCGTCGTCGGACTCTTCGCTGTCCTTGCTTCCCTCGCACCTTCATAGAAAAAAGAAAGATTTGTATTTCCGACAACGAACAATGAATAAGTTATCAACCGAATGACTGATTTTAATTTCTAGAGTGGACATTCTCTGACTTCGTCTCTCTTATTCTTGAAATTATCAAAAACAGTAGAGGAAGACGACAGGAAGAAACAAAGACAAGACAAAGAGATACAGACAAAAACAGACAAAGGAAGGCAGAGGCAGACACACAGACCGACAGAAAGGGACAGACAGACCGACAGAGAGAGAGACAGGCAGACAGGTCAAACAATATTTATGGATATTCTATTTTCATATCATTTTCTATCTTTATATCACCTCCACTGTAAGTTATGGATCACCTACGTTGGTTATCTTCACTTTCTTGACTGTTCTTAGTTGCCATAATACGTATAAATGTTTTTATGTGGTATTTGGGTGACTATTCCACTCTTGATCTCGAGAACCAATGAGAATCGAACATTTTCACGGTTTCTTCTGTATTCTAGCGATATTGCTTGTTTATTAAATTTTATCGGACTTGCTCTACCAATACAGAAGCCGAATTGACCCACACGTGACCAACAAACCTCGTTTATCAGCGATAAAATTTTGACATCGTGTCTGGTCAAGATTGCTTTGGATTCAAAACTGAGACAATAATCTAAGTTCCTACTTTATTTTATTTACTTATAATTCGCGTTAGTGAGACATTTTGTACGAAAGGCGAGACAATTTTATCCTGGCTGGACGTTTCATGTGTAATTTAAAAAGTTTGCATATTTGTTGACGGTCTGACACAACAATACTAGAATTCAAATTCCTTTTTAAAGTAATCTTCTTCAATTACTTAAGCTATTGTTATTGTTATATTACTGATTAAATCTACTAGATGATATAGCTAAACTCATAGGGTTGTTGCGCGAAGATACGAAGGTCGATGGTTCGAGCCCCTCGGCGACGATATCTTTTTTTTTAATTATTTCATGTCACATAAATACAATTTATTTTGTTTGAATTGGATGACAATTGTAATCATTCTTTTGAGAGCAACCATCTCCAAGATAATAAAAAAAATACTGTTTATCAGAATTGTACATTCCACTTTGTGAATAACTATAAGTAGGTAGGTAGTTAATTTCTAAAAAAGTGAATTCTGTATTTCATTACTATCATGATATCAACCCTGTAAAATATATCTACCTACGTATAGCTTAAGAATTTGTGGTGACGGGTTTTATTATATAAGTTATAACAATGAGTTGGGATACAACGGTTTTTTGGGAATTACTCATGATAAAGATATCGTTTGTGAATTAGTATTAAGAGAACGGTCGATGAATAAACACGATAATAGTTAATACCAACGAGTCTAATTTCACAAGGTGCTAACAATCATTATGTTCTTCTTCGCAGTTTGAATTGAAATATACTCAAATTATGTTACCTATTTCTTATATATATTATCTCATTCAATCATGAAATAGTCATACGAATAAAACTCGTGATACTATTTTTCCTGGAAATATTCGTCGATTGACATACTCCAGCTTGCTGCTCTAATTTCGCTCATGACATTGATCCAAAACTACTCGCCTACGGCTCGTAGTTTTGATAACAATGTCATTCACGAAATTACTAGGCAACAAGCTGTCGTAACAATCACCGAATATTTCCGACAAAATATTATCACTTGTGGTATTATATATGACAATTTTTGTACTTAAAAAAAAAAACATTTGTGGGGCAGCCTTTGAGAACTGCCGATAAAAGTGAAAACTAATTGCATTTGAAATAAGAAAGTTGTTATTGGCCGCTGTTGCATGACACACACTGTATGGAAAGTTTTTGTTGAGAGGAATGCCGCAATCATCCGAATAAATTCGACATACGTATCTATTCTCCTTGTCTACAAGACAAGTGTAAGAATATGATTGTCATTTCAATCGAAACATGAAAAAAAATCAGCCTCCTCAGAAGGTGCTCGCCCTAGACTCTAGTGAATTTTCTGGCCTGAATACTTACTGCATATAACAGAGAATCAACACAAAACTGAAGAATCAGATAATATGAGGAATATCTTTGAATATTCGGATCCTGACAAGATGAAACAAGGATTCGAAGATAAAGGTATCGTTAGGAAGAGTCAGGTTGACAATGCAGTTCGTCTTCTTTTTCTCTTTTTGTATTTCTAGGAACTTTAGGCATTACGCTGTTGCCAGTGCCATTCAAAATAAGAAAGTTGATGTTACTTCCGGTTGGACCGGAACTTAACTTTGACATGTCAATATGCTCAAATTCTAGCTCTTATGTCATTATATCGACGCTCCAAATTTCACAAACCTACTTCATACAATAACTGAGATATTCCGTAGGCAATACTTCCGTAGCCACCCGGTATATATATTTGCGATGATTCTAAATAACGCATGATTGCATCAAATTCTATTTATACACGGAATGATTAATAAGAAATAGGTTTGTGGTGTAAATTCCACAAGTGTGTACAACCTCATTCAAAGTTGATCCATTGCTCATAATCTGAGTCATAATCCGGTTATTATTCCGCAACTATTACTTTCAAATTACTTTTGAAGAGGATTACAATAAAGAATGTTCAATCTGGTCGAAAGGGATTACTATATTATGTAACTATCAATCCATTCACAAATATGTATTTCTAATTATTATATTCTATCTGCAAAGAAGACTGAAATTAATCTTCCAATTGTACAGGGTGGCCAACTAGGACTCCAGAGTTCGATTTCTCTGTTGTCTTGAGAGATACAAAAAAAATTCATGTATCAAAATTGAAGTAATAACCGAGCTTCACATTTCAAAATTTCTTTGAAATACACAGGGTGTTCCGTAAGGTCACAGCACATCAAAGCTATGGTTTTTTCATTAGAACACCCTATATTTTATTTCATTTTTGAATTTTCCCTGAAGATCTGATTTCAACGACCCATCATACTTAAGGCCTAGCAGTGAAAGTTACTGACATATAGGGTGTGCAAAATCGAGATTTTCCAAGTTCAGGATTTTTTTCTGTCGAAACTGTTCATTATTCGTCAAAACGGTTTACATGTCCCTATCTCAACTTTTCACTCACTATCAATTGGTGTTCAATTGAAATTGATACAAGGTGGTCAAAAAATCAAAATTTATAATTTGTTTCAATTAAATGTCAATTGAACACCAATTGATAGTGAGTGAAAAGTTGAGATAGGGACAAATCAGATCTTCAGGGAGAATTCAAAAATGAAATAAAATATAAGGTGTTCCAATGAAAAAAACATAGCTTTGATGTGCTGTGACCTTACGGAACACCCTGTGTATTTCAAAGAAATTTTGAAATGTGAAGCTCGGTTATCACTTTAATTTGAATGCGAAACTTTTTTTGTATCTATCAAGACAACAGAGGTATCGAACTCTGGATTCTTAGTTGGCCATCCTGTACTTCCAAATAAAAGCGCGTAGTGTATCTTTCTCTCACACACACAACCCTCTCTGTTTATCGTGTGCGCATCTCAGACCATAGCTCAGGGAAAGCATAGGTGACGATAACGCCATTCCCAGTATTTTTCTTCAAGCAAAAAAAGTGCTGAACGCGCCTAATAGTAATTTTCTCAACAAGTGCGGAAAGTAATACTTTCCCGCACGCGAATGCCATTGACACTAACGCCGCGAAGCGGAGTTCGGGCAAGCAGTCGAGTGCGGGAAATGCACTTTTCGCATGAGTTAGGAACAATATTTCATCTAAAAGCGTAGGCAATTGATTGAACAAATCAATCAATTATTTCTGCAAATAGGAACAACTAACAATAGTGATATATCTATCTTTTAATAATTAGTGAATGAGTGAGTTGATGTATCACCCTTGATTACACAATAAACGACTATCAACGGAAATCACCTGAGCGCTGAGTAACGGGGACGGGAGGACAGTAAGCGTTAGACAGCGATAGGGTGACGACCGAGTGAAGTTAATTGCATACAAGTGTTTTATTACAAAGTGAAATATACCAATAACATTGTGACTTTCTTATAGTGTATAAAGGGATACTACAATATCTATTGTGTATACCGTTTGAAGCATTATGTAGGTAAGATAATTGAAGAAGGCAGCATGCCCATGGTGTTTGGCCTCTAGGTTTCAGACATTTCTAGGAAATGAGCCAAAAATACTTCTTCTCTATTTGGTGTTTTCAATTTTTTACTATTTTACCATTCAATGAATAAGTGCTTCTCATACATTTCTTAAGACTTCGTTGGCAATAACTCATCTGTATCGCATCTGTAGCTGGAAGTTATTCATCGCAATTCCACTGAATTGAAAATGACAGTAACGCTCTGTCTGTCACTCTGAGAATTACACTAACTAATTTGTTTTGATTGACATGACAATTGTTTTCCACATCAGATCAATTAAAGACTATAGGGGGATTTATATAATAATCAATTATTTTCACAATAAGTACTGCAATTTGATGGATGATTTTGTACAAACTTATTAAATACTGCAACAAAAAAACCTAAAATGTTCATATTGCGAGAATCTAATACAGCGTATCTCAGTTATTAGTCATGCGATTCCAACCAAATTTGGTGTGGTGTGAATAACCATCAATATTATCAGTTTCACAGTGATGCACATTATTTTGGACAGTGCCGTGCGTTTTTATTGAACTGAAAAGGGGTCGATTTCTCATAAAATCATATTAGGCATTTTTTTACAGGAAATCTAACCTCATATTATTGTTCCTCATGCTTTCGAACCCCCATATGCAAAAAATCACCTAATTCCGAATAAACAGGATTGGCTTCATTTTTTTAATTTTCAGTCTAGAATAAATAGTGACTTCAAATCAACTACGAATTTTGGAACGCTCAATGGCTCCGGTAGGTGGAAAATCATGATTTGGAAGAGAGTTATACTTTTTTATGTTGAACTCACCGTTTCCGAGTAAATAATTATTACGTTCGCAAATATGCTGTTTAAATGTTCCTGTTTTTCTGAAACCCTTTATAGGCATCTTATGAAAATCCACATATGTGAGTTTGAAACCATGAAGAACAATATTATGAGGTCAGTTTTCCTGTGAGAAAATGCCTAATATGATTTACTAAAAAACTGACGCCTATTCATTTCAATGAAAATGCACGGCACTGTCTAAAATGATGTTTATCTTTGAAGAACTGGTCATATTGATGATTATTCATACCAATACAAATTTGGTAAAGATCGCACGACTGGTAGCTGAGATATAGAGGGGGGGCCGTTTGAAATGAGACACGCTGTCCCGGTCGCGATTTTACTAAATATACTGCACGCTAGCACAAACCACGCCCACCGTAATACGTCATATCTCTAAACATCACCGATATACTCGGAGTCAGCACATCGTACTAAATATACTGTACTCCAACGCCAGAATTCACTTTTTATGATTTTGACACGAATTCGACTGAAGCTCTCTCGTTGTCAATCTCTTGTATGCAGTAAATTTATATACCCAAACGGTCTACTGGTTAGCGCTGTCGACTTTCAGTCTGAAGGTCCGTGGTTCGAATCGCTTTTTCAGAAAATATTTGAAGTCAAATAGGTTAGTGCGTTTAGGATAAACAGTATCATTTTATTCAATTTCGTTAAAGAACTCAACTTTTGGAATATATTATTAATCAATGTGTTTTTACACTCCATTCTGGTTTTCCTTCCTCAAAAATATTGCAATCAGGAATAGGTTAGTTTGTTAAGGATAAATAGTCTCTCGAGTTTTGCCTAAGTACTTTGAAGATGAGATATTGCGGTGGGCGTGGTTTGTGCTAGCGTACAGTATATTTAGTAAAATCGCGTCCTGGTCACGGTGTAAGTAGTCGAACTCCTCCGAAACGGCTCGACCGATTCGTATGAAATTTTTTGTGCGTATTCGGTAGGTATCAGAATCGCTCGTGATCTATTTTTCAAATCGAAAATTCAAGATGGCGGATCCAATATGGCGGACGAGTATTGTTATCCGATTTCATTCAAAATTGGTATTTGGGGGTTTTCGGGGTCGGAGATTATGATTCTTTCGTCAAATTTTGGAAATTCAATATGGCGGACGAGTTTTGTAATTATGGTCAGATTCTATTCAAAATTGGTATCTGGGGGTTTTCAAGGTCGGAGATTATGATTTCTTCATAAAATGGCGGATCCAATATGGCGGACGAGTTTTGTAATTATGGTCAGATCTAATCAAAATTGGTATCAGGTGATTTTCGGGGTCAGAGATAATGATCTTTTTGTCAAAATTAGGAAATTCAAGATGGCGGATCCAATATGGCGGACGAGTTTTGTAACTATGATCCGATTCAATTCAAAATTTGTATCTGGGTAATTTTCGGGTCGGAGATTATGATTCTTTCATCAAAATTAGTAAATTAAAGATGGAGGATCCAATATGGCGGACGAATTTTGTAATTATGATCCGATTCTATTCAAAATCTGTATCTAGGGGTTTTCGGGATCTTTAAAATTGGGTAATTCAAGATGGCGGATCCAATATGGCGAAAGAGCTTTGTAATAAATGGTAGTTTGAAAAACTATAATGAAACACGATTTATAGATAGCCAAGCTCGATGCCAAACTGAATAGAAGTTGAAAATTTATAGTATAGTTTGAAAAACAAGATTGTTGAACTAAAAAGAAGTAGAAAATAAAAATAGTAGTTTGAAATACTAATGAAACACGATTTCAATGCTCTAACTAAGAAGAAGTTCTAAACAAAATAATAAAAGTGTGTTGATGAATATTTAACCAAAAAAATATTTTCTAGAAGAAAATGTATATAGCAAAACAACGTCTGCCAGGTATCAGCATCAGCAATTGTAATAAAAACTAATGAAACACGTTTTTATAGATAGCCAAACTAAAAAGAAGTGAGTAGTAAATAAATGAAAAAAATTGAGAGATATAGAGTGCCGAACTGAAAAGAAGAAGAGAATAAGTAGAATAGTTTGAAAAACCGTTTTCATGGATAGCCGAACTAAAAAGAAGTATAAATAAAATAATGAAAGTTCTTTGATAAATATGTATGTGAAAATGTTTTTCTAGAAATAATGTTATGGCAAAACAACGTTTGCCGGATCAGCTAGTATTATATAAATGTTTTTCTCGCATTACTGCGGGAAAATTACACTTCCCAAACTAAATTGCGTGTGGGTATATGGTGAATCACGCACGCTTGCTGAAAAAGAAGTTTCCACAAAAAAAAAACTCTCACCTGGTCAAATTCGGGCAACGTTGCACCAGCGCCTGGTTAACGTTGAGCCCCTCGTCGGTGAAGACTTCCGCCTCGGGCACCTCGACATCGAGAGGGCCCTTGATGAGGATCTTGGCGTTCTCGGTGATGATGTCCAACAGGCACTCGTAGTCGGAGGACAGCCAACTGCCCGATTTGCCGAACACACGGTGCAGCTTCACCTTCGAGGCGAACGCCTGGATCTTGGGGAACATTATCTCTCGGTACAACTGCGAAAAGAAACGTTTTTCTGCAACCGATACAAAAGTCGTCCATAGGTCGCGTGCACGATGACCGACCCTGGAGGCAAAATATTGAAACACAACCTCATTCTTCTGTGAATTATTGAACCACAACCTCACTTTTTTACTTGGTTACAGAGGAATCAAAGGATTGAACTAGTTTTTCACAATATTTTGGCATACGAATCGTGTTTTTTGCGCTATTCATTGATTCGAGCATGCCTTCGCATTGTGCTGTTGAACAATGCACAAAAAATGCAGCAAGAGACTAAAGAATATGATTTTTCAGGTAAATAGTAATCTCACATAGTTATCATTATGAAATGTTGTCATTCTTTATTAAAATTCCTTCTGCCTTCTGTCACTTCTGCAATACAAGCTAATACTGCTAATAGATTGAAAATGTCTACAACACACACGATCGTCAGCATGTCAGACCAGTCCTCCCGATTGATTGCATGAATCCAATTTTCTGGCATTATTTTAGAAATTTCAGATGTATTTCTATTAGCTTCTATCGCAGAAAGAATTCCGATGAGAAATCAGAGAAATTACCAAATTTCAAAAATGAAAACTATATGTGAGTGACTATAGTAGGTACTCACTTTTAAATCATATTGTACCAACCGGATTACTTCGTCTTCCGCTGCAGTTTTTGTGCATTTCACCACAGCATAATGTGATGGCATGAGCGAATTGATGAATAGTGGAAAAATACGATTCGTATGCCAAAATAATTGTGAAAAACTATTTCAATCACTTGTAAACAAATAAGTAAAGTGACGTTTGTGTTTCAATATTTTGCCTCCAGTGTCGGTCATCTGACAGTTCTTGCACGCAACCCATTTCAATACCAAAACTAGCTCTTGAATTGACGTTTCTATCACTGACACAAAAATAGTGGCAAGAAGTACAAAGGCCTATGAATTAACATCACTCAAACTCTCGTTCATTTCAAGATCTCTTATCATTAATTAACTTTTCCAAATTAAAACATTCCGTACATTGTAGTTTCGATCAGGTCAGCGGAGTTCATAGACGTCATTTCCTTTATAATTTGCAAAAAAACGCTTACCGCGCGATAATACCTAGGTTAGCAGTATCGAAAGGTAACGATCATTCCCATTGCGGAAAATTGCGAATCTAGCATCGATTTCAAATACAAATAGAACCCGAATCGATAAGGATGGTCATTATTAGTTCTATCGGAATTCATTATCAATACAAGGCATTATTAGTTCAATCGTTCATAACACTCATTCATTGATTGCTGACTTCCAAAGTGGCACGATGCCATGTTGTTTGCTCGTTTCATGTTTGATTGACGAAAGAAATTGAATTACTTATACCTCGCTCATATCAGAATACTAAAATTTCCCAGAATCTTCAGAAACAATGGTGGTTGGATGAATGATATAATTTTTAAGTAATGCTAATTCCTCATTTTTCTGAATAGAATAACGTTTGTTTGCCTTAATCAAGTTACGCAACGAATGAAATATGAGAATTAGTTTAGTCAGAAAATATAAGAGAATCTAGTCGGATAATATGAAAAAAGTTGAGTTGAAAGTGAATTGAAAAAGTAATTATTTGACAGATCATTGAATTTACGAAAACTTCATATTTTGAAATGAATGGTGGTTGGCTGGGTGAAATTGCTTTATAAAACGTGACAAAATTGACTGGAATAATAAAAAGAAAAATCAGAATGAACTAAATAGATCAACTATGGAGAGTTATTTTGTAGGAAGGTGCCCGGCGCCTCCACCACGTGTCGCAACTCAGATGTTGACCCTCCTATAGGTCGGGACTTAGCTACTCGCTTGGCTTTTTGACGAAAGGTTTTGATCATTTCACCACCCAACCATATTCATCCCCAAATAAAGAGAATTGTTCTTCGAAAGTACAACAAACAATCCATTCAATCATGAAATCATAAAAATGTGCCAGAAGGGCGGAACAGCAAAGAACAAACATGAAACGAGCAAACAACAGAAACAAGATGATGGTTCTCGGTACTTACATTATTTTATGGGCAGCAGCACCAAAGTCGAGGAGATGTTACACCCCCAAAGTGGCATAGTGCCACTTTGGAAGTCAGCAATCAATGAATGAGTGTTATGAACGATTGAACTAATAATGCCTTGTATTGATAATGAATTCCGATAGAACTAATAATGACTTGTGTTGATAATAAATTCCGATAGAACTAATAATGGCCATCCTTATCGATTCGGGTTCTATTTATATTTGAAATCGATGCTAGATTCGCAATTTTTCGCAATGGGAATGATCGTTACCTTTCAATTCTGCTAACCTAGGTATTATCGCGGGGTAAGCGTTTTTTTTTGCAAATTAGAAAGGAAATGACGTCTATGAACTCCGCTGACCTGATCGAAACTACAATGTAATGAATGTTTCAATTTGGAAAAGTTAATAAATGAAAAAATATCTTGAAATGAACGAGAGTTTGAGTGATGTTAATTCATAGGCATTTGTACCTACTTCTTGACAATAGGTATGTTGCTAGGCAACACATTTAGTTCCTAGAAGCTAAAGTTGGATTTTAGCTCCTAGGAACTGAAAAGGATATACTAGAGGTCATCAAGAATAAACAACATTGTTACGGTAGGTTGGGACGTATACCGGATTTGTTTCCGATTTCGGCAAATTTGGCAATTCATACCCATGCTGGAGATATAGATACACCTTAATATAGTTAAGTATTTTTGTTTTGGTCAGGGAAGCCTTTAAGATTCAAATACTTGCTTGATCTGTATTTCATCTGTTATTCTCGGGTTTTTTGTCTCAAATAACGATATTGTTAACCTCCATTTGATTATCAAGCCAAACACAGTCGAGTATGGAGAGAAATAAATAATCGCTATTATTATTGTTGATATGCTCACTAACCTAACATTTTCCACGTCTTGTTCCTATGCCATTGACGCGGTAGTCGTCATCAGAGCACCTGGTCCATACACAAATATGTCACTCTGTGGTTGTATTTATATTGAAACTACAATTCGAATATCCTTGAAAAATGAATAAACCTGCTGTTAATGCAGGTAGAATATTCTCACCACACGGATTATTTGTCAATATTTGTTGCATTGCAATACATATGGCAAGGCATTGGTGGTTACTTCACATATTTATTTGAGTTAATTGTTTCGGTTGCAGAAAAAAATAGCATGTTTCATTCGGATCAAAAGTGACTTTGTTTGACTCGCAAATTTTGCTTTCGCTCGGCTTCGCTAAACGCTCCGCCTCGCAAATGCAAAATTCGCAACAAATGTCACTTTTGATCCTAATAAAATAATCTACTATTATCGATGTTTATTGATTTGTTCCTAATATTTTATAGGTTTGTTAATACATTTCAAACATTGAATTTGATTTAGATTTCATTCTAGAAACGTGAAAATGAAAGTTCTTCGCACATTCTCAGAAATCGTGTTGTTAGATGGGAGAGAAGAGAGAAATTCCCGTTTCCGTGGGAATTTTTGGAACTTTGAGGGAAAAAGGGATCTCTGTGGAATAAGGCCGTTTGGGAGGGAGACTTTGATAATATCGCCAGGTTCGGAATTCTGAGAAAAACAACAATAGTTTGTGATCTGAACACAGAACATTCAACACATAATCATAGAATTTCTATTGTTTCGTGATTTGACTGTGTAAGTTTCGCAATAATTGCTCAAAATCAAGTGATAATAGTTTACTATTCTTATTGAATACTCGACAGATGAAATATTTTTGTTATACAATATACTGTCTGCAGGTTGATAGAGGAAGTGGAATATTCATTTATATATAATTTTTGGGACTTCCTCTCCTTGTTTCTATAGATTGAAATATGAGATGATGCGCCATAGATTTGCCTCAAAATGCCGCTGCATGACCAGAAAATCTAGAGAAACAAAATCTAAAGATGAACGTTCATCAATTCCAATTTTCCGCTCAATAATAGGAAGGATCTTTGACCAAAAAAATGATTCTTCAGCCGTTGCAGAAGAAAATTTCGTGCAGACAAAAACACGTCCGACAACAAATTCAATGACAAAATACTCACGTCCTTGGCCTTGAGCGTGTGATCGCTGCCGAAATCGATCATGATGGCCGTTATGTCATCGGGCCCGTTCACCTGACACACTTTCCCCCTGTAGAAGTAGTCGTTGAAGGAGATGGTGCACAGCTGGCCTGGCTCCCAATTGTGGTCGATGTGCGACCTCTTCGGCAGCTTGTCGAAGTATCCTTTTATGTTATTCTCCATCACCTCGTAAACGCTCTGCAGTTCCTCGTCGCGCAAATAGAGGATGCCTATAATATAGAAGTACAGAAAGTGCAGAAAAAGAATTGAGTTATTGATTATAGAAATTTTCCAAGATACCGAATCTTTCATGCAAACTGTCTATTAATAATAATAAACAATACCATGACATTTCCATGGAGCTTGAACAATATATAAACGTTATTTCAAAACCCACTATATTCAACTTACATTAGATGATATGAAATGATGGTTCATGATGCGGTATTTTGGTAAATTTTGATCATCAATAACTCAACTACTTCTCATCCAAATATACAACTCATATAACATTTAAAAAATCAAAGTTGATGTCCTTACTGGAAAAACGAATGACTGTATATGAACCAACTTCACGATATAAAAGTTTGAGTCGTTTGACACAACTTTTTCATTTAATATTTTTTTATATCTCTGAAAACGAAAGAGTTAAGGGGGGATTTCATTTTAAGAGGCGCACCCTGTACAGGGATGAAACAACCAACACTCACCCTCCGTTTCGGCGCAGGTGACGCGCGCATTGAACTCCACCTTCGTGATAGCGAACGCAGGTATCCAATCCTCGATTTCCGCCTCGCTATATGTACGATACGGAGACGATTCCTCTTCTTTCCCTTCGCTTTCTTTGTCCCCCTCCTCCTTCTCCGCATCCCTGCTCTTTTTACCCTTCCCCTTGCCCTTGCCCTTCCTGCCTTCCCCCTTTTTCTTGATGGCCGCTTTCTCCTCCATTTCCACCAATTCCGCCCAGCCTAACGGCGACGTTTTCTCTTTTTCCGGCGCGGCATCTTCAGTTTCGGCTCCGGATTTCACCTCTTCCAATTCTTTGGCGAGTTTTTCGAATACGGAAGCGAACGAAGTGACAGATCCGGCTTCTTCGCTTTGTTTGCTGCTTTTGCTGCTGATGCTGACGGAATCTTCTTTGGGGGCGATCTTGTAGGCGTAGCCCAGTTTGACCAGTCGATTGTTGACGCTGATGAATTTGGTCTTGGAGGCTTCGAGAGCGCCGCCCATCTTGATTTGGGTGTACCACATGTGCATCGGGATCGATTTGGTCGTGTTGTCGCCGGATACTTTGGTGCCGTATATGTCTTTGTACTTTTCGAAAACCCTGGAAAACCGCGAGTTTTTTTTTTCAAAAATGTCAATCAAAAACATTGAATGTTTGGAAAAACCAACACAAACCATTTTTTAAGCACAGGATCCTTCCAAAAATGTGAGAAATTATCGAATTGAAACAGTTGTTTTATGGATAATTAATTACCAAACTACACCGTTTTCAATTGTAATTCAGAAAGTATAAGATGTAATTCAGAAAGTATAAGTTGTAATTCAGAATAGTTAATTGTAATTCAATTCTCCAATCCTCCAGTCATCATGAAGAGTTCATCATCTATACCACAAGAACTGAACTTTTCAAGCAAAGAAATTACGCTTGGGTTAATGGTTTCTGTAGCATCTCACAATAGTTCGACCATAACGATCAATTTCAATAATGTCAATAATCCCTAAATATATGTACATACAGAAATTATTAATCCTTTGTTTGAAAAGTTCAGTTCTTGTTAATTTTGTGTTTACTAATCCTGAAGAACTCAAGAAGTGCTAATGTTGTCAAGTGTGCTTATAAGTCTCAATAAAATCAAATAGGTAAATGAACTTTTTATTTAAAAATTTCCCACCCGTGGGTGGGAAGTGAAAGTAGGTAATATGTCAGTTTCAGACTTTTTAAACGTCAGTAATGATGACATTATACAGGGTGTTTCATAGGTAAAGGGAAATATTTCAATGGTAGATAGGGATCACCAAGGTGGTTCTGAGAATACCATATTTGATAGGTCTTAGAGTCTTCATAACGGAGATACATGGCAATTTATTGATTTCGAATAATTATTCATTCGTCTATAAGTATTGAACTACCCGGTATATTTTCCCCAAGTTTGGTATGGAGCTTAAACTTGGGACGTTGAATTTATTCACCTATCGGGGGGAGCGAAAATCCAGGTTCGGCTTCAGGAAAAATTTACATTTATTCGAAATATCAAAATAACACACTGTATTAAATAATTAACACAGTACATCAAAAGAATTGCGAAGAGGAGGAAAAACTGAATTGTGTATGATGCTTTTTGTTTTCCCGCCACCAATTCTCATCGTAACAATCATAAACAGAAAGTTGAAAGTATGTCAATTTGAAGAGTATTGATGGAATTATGAAACCAGTGTCAATTATGATTATTTGATATTTTAGTCAAAAAATTGCTCGAAAGAACTCACTAAGTCTCGCAGTCCTCATAAGTCTTAAACTACCCACTAACATTTTCTCAAATTTGGTAGGTATGTAGCTTACTTGGGACGATGGATTCATTAACCTATCAGGCGGAATGGAAATAATACCAAATAATTATTATTCCATAATTCACCCTGTATATCTGTTATAAAGACCATGAGACTTTTCCTGAAGCTGAACCTGTATTTCCATTCTGCCTGATAGGTCAATGAATCCATCGTCCCAAGTAAGCTCAATACCAAATTTGAGAAAATATTACTGCGATGGGTAGTCTAATACTTATGGACGAGTGAATAATTATTCGAAACCGATAATTCACCCTGTATATCTGTTATAAAGACTGTGAGACTTAGTAAGTCCTTTCGAACGATCATTTAACAAGAATATATCAAATAATCATAATTGAAAGAGGATTCATAATTTCGATACTCTTCAAATTGACATACTTTTAGCTTTCTGTTTATGATTGTTACGCAGTGGCGTAGCTATGGACGGGCAGTTCGGTGCGGTGCACCAGGGCCCCGGGGCATTGGGGCCCCGGAGGGGCCCCTATATCCCAATCTGCATTAGCAGGTATACTGCAAGAAAGTATTGGTGTGCAAATTAATTCTTGAACCCTGTAACTTTTTTAATCCTTGTCAGATTTTTGTGAAATTTCGATCAAATCGTAGATTCATGTTCTGAAATGTTGCTGATTCACGTCAATAACTCGTTTTCAAGAGAATATACGATGTTTTGAGAAATTATGGCATTTTTCAATTATTTTTATCAATAATCAGATCCTACATCAACTTATTGATTAACAACTTGAGGAATCAATATTACTAAATTCTACCTCATTTTTATAGCACTTACCTAAAAAAACCTTAAATACAAAAAACAAACAAGAAGCAGACCTGTAGTCAATAACCAGTATATGCTCTCCTCGAAGTGGACTTGGAGAATAACTAAGATTCTTCAATTGTAGCTCTTGAAGAGTCTCTGACAAGGCCGGGCGAATGCGAATGAGCCTCTGAAGTTCATCCCTAAGATACTCTAGAGGTTTTGAATTATTGTTGACAAAAATTAAAAAATTCCATACTTTCTTCGAACACTTGTATATTCTCTTAAAAAGGAGATATTGACGTGAATCTTGAACCAATACGCTGAGAAAGGACGAAAAAGGATCAAATTTCAATCCTAAACATAATGAAGCCAAGTTTAACCACTCACTTTTTCCACAAGGCAATAGGAAGTTGAGGGTAAAAGAGTAACTTTTGTATGTCCCTGTACGGTTTGGTCGAAATTTCACCAGAATCGGACAAGAATTAAAAAAGTTACAGGGCGAAATTTTATGGTGGCCGGTTTTTTTTTGCCGGTGAGTGTATATTCCCTACTTTATCATTATTGCTGGGCGCCTATGAATGTTGAACTCAACTGTGATTTTACAATATGAAATATTGCTGCCAGCAGCGAGACCAGATCATAATCGTCAGTTGAAAGCTCGGTTGGAAGCTAATCAAAACGGTCACAGGCTGAATATACTTACCTATGAAAATTTGCGTCCTTATACACGCGTCCTAAATATTTGATTGTTTTAATTTGGTTGCCCTATTGGAGTCATTTTCATGCTACCAAAATCTTGAATTATAAAATGGTACTCATTGATAATAACTGTCAGATTCAAAATACATTAGTTGTTTCAACTAAATACCGTGAAATTTCTGCAAAAGTCACTGCATGGTACAAACGGAGGTGAAGCGATGGACAAATAGCTTCACTCAGATTGCAGAGAACAAGCGGAGGTATCAGGTGGCTGCCATGGCTCGTCAACATTTGCAAAAACAATTCTTAAACTTTGTCATTTCGTGACTTCATTCGAGAGAACAGAAAAATACTTAGGTACATTCAGTTGTTTTCATTGGAAATTAAATTAACTGATGAGGCTACTAGATTCATACTCAAAAGAGACAAATATATTCGATTCTCATTTTGAACTTCTGAACCAGGCAGCTTGACCTTGAAATTTCGAAAAGAATTGCCTGAAGCGCAATTTTGCTCATATCAGCTTTCTCAAATTTCAAACTCATAACGACTCGCCACTACAAGAGATATACATTTTTAACAATTCTGTTCTTTTTTTCGATCTTCAACTACCTTTAACTCTAGGGTTGGAAAATTTTCTCAGTGAATTAGGGCCCCATCAACCCTCGTTGCACCGGGGCCCCGACACCTCTCGCTACGCCACTGTTGTTACGATGAGAATTGGTGGCGGGAAAACAAAAAGCATCAAATCCAGTTCAGTTTTTCCTCCTCTTCACGATTCCTTTGATGAACTATGTCAATTATTACATACAGTGTGTTATTTTAATATTTCGAATGAATGTAAATTGTTCCTGAAGCCGAACCTGGATTTTTACTTCACCCGATAGGTGAAAGAATTCAACGTCCCAAGTATAAGATCCATACCAAATTTTAGAAAAATATACTGGGTAGTTCAATACTTATAGACGAATGAATAATTATTCGAAATCGATAAATCGCCCTGTATCACCGTTATGAAGACTCTAAGACCTATCAAATATGGTATTTTCAGAACCACCTTGGTGAACCCTATCTACCATTGAAATATTTCCCTTTACCTATGAAACACCCTGTATAGTTGTAAATAAAAGGTGTTCCCAAGCCGAACTCACCTCTCCAAGGCCTCGATCGAAGACAAACTCCATTTATCGCCGCCGGCCGGTCTGATATCGGCCAAATGCGCCTTGAACACGACGCTGACGAACCTGTTGAAGTACTTGGAGTACTCGAAAATCTTCGTCAACGGAAAAGACACCTCCGCCGGCTTATCGTACACGTTCACCTTGTACCTACTGTTCTCCTCCTGCGACAGTATCTTGCCCCTGGCATAGCTGACAAAAAAATTGTTGTCAAAGAATGTCCGGACTTGAGAATGGGGAAGTTTAATATATTGCGGTTTTTATCTTACTTTGAAGTTTGTGAAAAAAATAATATATACGTATTTTTCTTTTTCGTAAGATCGAATTTCACATCAGAAAAAAATTAATAAAAGAGGGACTTGGCTCCTCCACCATTCCTACGACTTACTTTTTGAAAATCCACATTCACACAGAGTTAAAATACGATTCCCTGTGCCAGTACGACAACATCAATATGTCTAGATTTCCGGAAATTGTTCTTTGAATGCATAATAACTATATCATAACAGCAATGGGATATAATAGGTTCTTCAATCCTACTTTGTCAAGTATTATGAATAATTCCCACTAATCTCTCATTGGCTGAATTATGATATCATGTGATAGTATCTATAATTACTTCTTTCTCCGATTGGCAGCAAATATTAATTTTGCTGACACATATCAATCAGCAAAGTATTACTTTTTCTGTCTAGGCAGCAAAGTGGGTACTTTGCTGCCTATGCAGCAAAGTGGTTACTTTGCTGATTGATATGTCGCAGCAAAATTGATAAGCTATAAATTGTTTATAATTTCCTTCATATTTCATCCGAGACTTCTCCGGCAACAAATTCAATTCTATATTTTTTGCCACTTCCAGGTCGCTATCACTGTCCATTATATAATGATTTAAATATACCGATATTTTTTCGCACAACTGTCAGAAATTTCATGAATTGTCAAACTATAATAATTATTATGGACTTTTCCATAGCAACCAACCATTCCAACAACTGCGATTTATATCAAATTTTATTTTAATTGAACACTACAGGGAAAATAAAGAGATATATTATGAACAATCGGAGAAAAAATTATATGTTCAACTCGGCAGCAAAGTAGATTGACTGCCTTAGCTGGATTCCGAGCCTCGCTACGCTCGGCTATGAATTCAGACTCGGCAGTCAATCTACTACTTTGCTGCCTAGTTAAACAAATGACTATTATTTGTCAAATTTATGCGTTGTGAAGTAATTATTTTCGAATAAATGCATTTTTCTGCAACCGACACAAAAGTCGTCCATTTTGATACCAAAATTAGCTCTTAAATTGACGTTTCTATTACTGACAAAAAATAGGTATGTTGCTAGGCAACATATTTAGTTCCTAGGAGCTAAAGTTGAATTTTAGTTCCTAGGAGCTAAAGTTGAACTTCAGCTCCTAGGAACTAAAAAAGATCTACTGGACGTCATCAAGAATGAACAACATTGTGACGGTTGGTTATTTGGGTTGAGACGCATACCTGATTTGTTTCCGATTTCAGCAGATTTGGCATTTCATACCCATGCTGGAGATATAAAAACACCTTTTTATAGTTTAGTATTGAAATTATAAACATCTCAGCTGAGTATTTTTGTATTGATCAGGGAAGCCTTCAAGATTCAAATACTTGCTTGATCTGTATTTCATTCATTATTCTCGGGATGGATAACTTGTTTTTGGATAATCACGGCAAGCAATAGTTTTTTGTTTTTTGTCTCAAACAACGATATTGTTTAGCTTCATTTGATTATCAAGTCAAACACAGTGTGGTATGGAGAGGAATAAATGATCACTATTTTCATTGTTGATATGCTCACTAACTAAACATTTTCCACGTCTTGTTCCTATAGCTGGCACTGGCGCGGTATTTGCCATTAGAGCACCTGGTACATACACAAATATGTCACTCTGTGGTTGTATTTATATTGAAATTTCAATTCGAACATCCTTGAAAATTGAATAAACCTGCTGTTAATGCAGGTAGAATATTCTCACCACGCGGATTTTTTGTCAATATTTGTTGCATTGCATACATATGGCACAGTATTGGTGGTTACTTCACATTCATTTGAGTTAATTATTTCGGTTGCAGAAAAAATAGCATGTTCCATTCGGATCAAAAGTGACTTTGTTCGACTCGCAAATTTTGCTTTTGCTCGGCTTCTACTATTTTTGCCAGATTTTGATTCTTTATAAAATTCATAGTTTTTTTCAGACTACAGTAAATGTGTGAGGACAATGGGCTTATATCACAAAAAAATTTCATTTCATAATTCGATAGAACTCACCCAAACTAGCTCACCACCGCAAACCGTTTCTTGCTGTGAGCTCCCTACGTTTTATAAAAAATTATTGAAATCCCCGATTTTTCGGACCTCTGAAAACGAGGCGATGATGTGACGTCAAAACCCTAATACTGAAACAAGACTATTCCAGACAGAGATGAATGATACATGATTTCTGACAAATCAATTCTAACCTAGATTGACTTTTTGCAGCTCCATGTGAAACGGGTCAACAAAGCAATGTTGCTATGTTTATGAAATATATTGGATTATTGTGAAATTGTAATGGTGCAAATGGTTTTGAGATTGAGACATTTCGTTGTCTAGAGATTGTTTATACTCCAATGATTCAACCTACAATCGACAACTCGAATATATTTTTCTGCAGTAGTGGTAGTGGATATCAAAAGATATTTCAATATCGATTTCGATTTCTCGGATATTTTGTTTGGATGATATGGCAACAGTAATAAGTGTCAGGAGAGTGTCAGTTTCAACCATATATCTACTATTTCTATATATGGCGCATCGCCTATACGATATCTCAACAAAAATGGGACCAAAATGAGAGGTACTCTTTGAATCTATGAGAACAAAAAGTGAAGGATGGAAACAGCCATATTGATTTGACAAATTTCCTATTATTTTTTCCCTACGTCGGTATCAACGCCTATTGGTCGATTTCATTACCTATAGAGACAGAAATGGGTCCCGCTTTGAGGAGAGCTATGATTCATATATCAGTAGTAGATATATATGGTTTATATATATATATATATATATAGCGAGATGGGGTTTCTACGTCATAAGAGGGTCTCCGTTTTCAGAAGGTACTATCATTTATGTCCAAAAATAAAACATTCCAGTTAATTTTTCGATCGAATTATGTCGTCAATCATTATTTATGTATAAAAGGATCATTATAAACATGGTTTGAGTTAAAAGTTCTACTAAGGTGTACACGCCCATTTGGATTATTTCATTTCTGATGTTTATGTGTGACCTTTGAAAATTCCCTGTACTAAACTATCAAAATTTTTCAAGAACGGTCCTGGATTTTCCCGATTCTGGAAATGTCAGTCGATTAGGGTTCAGTAGAGGAATATTCCATGGAAAAATCAGAAGAATCAAAGGAGCTGTTAAAAAGTTATGACCTAGAGATGTTTTTGACAAATCTTATAATTCACCCTATATGTATATTGGAAAAGAAGAGAAGAAGACACTTTCTGATGGTCATTAGGTATTCCCCTCAAGGGCCTCTATGACTCACCCTGTATAACCAAGGCTACTACAAAAGACAACCATAATTTCCAACATACCTGAGATGGTGCAACACCACACAATCCTCCCCCACCTCCCACGTCTCCTTCGTCTTCCGCTCCTTGGAATAGTGCACCTGCAGCTCCTTGTGCAGCTCGAACTCCTTACCCTCGTTCATAGCGAACTTGATGAATATCAACGACGGATTGACGAAATTCACCACGGATATTTTCGAGCGCATCGGCGCATTCTCGTCCTCTTCCTCGTCCGATTCGAACGAGTCGTCGTTGTCGTCCACTCGCTTCAACAGCGAATCCACCAGGCCCTCGTCGTCGGTGAAGCCCTTCTGTTCGGCCACGTTGCGCGGCCATTCCACCGTCCGGGAACTGGGGAAATTAGCTTTTTGAACAGGGTTTCTATAAATGATCGTAACATCGTAGTAGCCGTTGAAATATTTTCTCCATTTGCCGCCTTTCATTTATGGAGATTCACACATTCGAATTTGATTTCTGACATCAATCATTATACTGTCATAGCTGATAAACTCACAATTGTCAGTTTTTCCTTAAAATTCTCAAACGATTCTGTTTTCTACTTCGTGATTGTCGTGTTGAAAAGAGGGATGGCTCATTCCTCGGAGCAGAATACATTTATTGTGATGTCTTATTGTCGAAATGGCACATTCATCAATGGTGGATGGAGTTACTCGGTAATAGCCTGCAAGGATGAGTACCTGGCGAAATATCCTAATTTACAGATTCAAGAATCTTCTTTGAAAGCCCACATCAGAACAGTGACCAACAGATTCATTAAATCTGGAAACGTTAATAAAACGAAATCAACAGGAAGGCCCCAAATATCGGAAGAAGTTGTCGAAAATCTAAGGGCGCGTGTTGAGCAAAATCCCCAAACGTCATTGAACAGATTATCTTTACAACCTGGTGTGCCACTAAGTACATGCCATAAAGTGCTCGAGAAAAGATTGCATATGCACCCTTACAAGACCAGTGTACTACGGCAATTTCTGCCAATAGATATCCCACGTCGTCTGGAGTACTGCCAATGGTTCCAAAATAATCTCAACGATGACCAGCTATTGGACATAACAATTTTCAGCGATGAGACTTGGTTCCATTTCTCGGGATACGTGAACACAATTTCATTGAGACTCCACTACATTCTCAAAAAATTGGGGTGTGGTTAGCAGTTTCTCGTAGGCGAATATATGGACCGATTTTCTTCGATGGCACTATCAATGGTGAAAGGTACATACAAGTGATGTTAGAACCATTAATCAATCAACTTGATGATGAAGAAATTCGAGTTGGCAATTTTCAGCAAGATGGGGCCACTGCCCACACCACACATACAAATTTAGGATATTCACAAGAATTTTATGACAACCGTGTGATAAGTCGAGGAGTTGATCCTTCTTTTCCAACACGTTCTCTAGATTTGACGCCTTTGGATTTCTGCCTCTTTGGATATTTGAAAGACGAAGTATTCAAGAGAGACAATAATAACCTTGAAGAGCTGCAAGCCTCAATAACACATTGCTGCCAAAATATTGGCCCGGAAATGCTGAGGAACATTTTCGATTTAGGAGAACAACGGAGAACATTTTGAACATTTGATGTAGGTTAATGAAATAAACCGTTATTTATTACTTCTTCAATAAATATTTTTGATTTGTTCCATTATTTTTCAAACTCCAATATTGTGTGCAAAACGATATAAAAAGATCCTGTATATGATCACTTCCTCTCTTTTTGGTCGTTAAATGTTGTTAACAGCATTAGTAGAAAGCGGCAAATGGAAAAAAATGTCAACAGCCACTACGATGTCACGATCATTTAAAGATATACTGTATAACAAGGGAGGCAAGGGCGAATCCAGGGAGCCGGTATAGGGGGGACGACTGACGAATGAATACTATTGTTGTTATTATTGATATTATCATTTTCTCCTGGGCAGTTGTGGCTAGTCTTCCGTGCTTAACTAATTTGAGGTTAGTAATATGTGTGTTATGATTGTGATTGAACATATGTTCGGCTAAACACGATTTATATAACCTACCATATTTTAAATGTGCTATGTGTTCTTTGAACCTTGTTTTTATGGGTCGCCTGGTTTGGCCTATATATGTTTTATCACAATCATTACAACTTATTTCGTATATTCCCGACTTTTCAAGTGTGTCCACTTTATCTTTCAGATTGCCTAATAAATTGCCTAATTTTGACCCAGACTGATAAACGCTTCAAAAACCTAAGTCTTTGAGAACCTTATCAAGTCCCTTCGTATACTTGGGATTGAACGGGATTGGGATTCTTCTAGACTTCTTTTTATCCACTTGAAAAGTCGTAGAATTCCGAAGTGTTACGTATTAATCTTTCTACTATTTTGATATCATAGCCATTGACGACAGCCACTTTATAAACAACACTTTTTTCAGCATCGAATCTTTTTTTGCTCAGAGGGAATGAAATTAATCTATGTACTAGAAAATTTAAACTTGCCATTTTGTGTTGAAAACAGTGATTGGAGTCATTAGGTATACCGGGTGTCAACGAATCTATTAGACAAGTCATAACTTCTAGACCATTAGGTGTACCAACTTGAGATTTGATATTGGTAAATGGTATGTGAAGAGGAGAGTTATCACATATTTTTCACTTTCCGGTCACTTCCGGTTTCACCGGAAATGGCCCCGGTTCTAAATTTTCAAAGGGAACACCCTGTACATTGTAACATTTTTGGATTTCTGAGTCAATTCTAGATCATAATGTGATATTTTCGAAAGTTTTTATGCCTACTTAATTTTTTCGGAGTCACTTTTGAAATTACATCTAGGTGGCCATGATTTGAAGTAAACTTATCTAAGGACCTCAGGTGATATCAGAAAATTACAATCGCAAAGTTTGAGTGACAAGTATGATAGATATGAATAAAACAAGTTGACAAAATTACATTTTCGTGTCTAACTATTATTTTTCAGATGGCGACTATATTTTGACAAGCACTTTCCGAAAAAAGGATATTTTGACGAATCTAACGATACTAATTTATTTGCGATTGGATCAACAAATTTAACAAAATCAACAAGAAGACTTGATCGAAATAACTGTATGATATTATGCATCATGCCTATCCTCGGCACACTTGACAGAAGTAGATAAATTATTATGAAGTATTTTCGTCAGTAATATTTAATTTATGTTCTTATTTGAAATCCAATCGCAAATGAATTAGTATCGTTAGATTCGTCAAAATATCCTTTTTTCGGAAAGTGCTTGTCAAAAAATGGTTTGAAAAATAATAGTTAGACACGAAATGTAATTTTGCCAACTTGTCTCATTCATATCTATCATACTTGTCACTAAAACTTCGCGATTGTAATTTTCTGATATCACCTGAGGTCCTTAGATTAGTTTACTTCCGATCATGGCCACCTAGACGTAATTTCAAAAGTGACTCCGAAAAAATTAAGTATGCATAAAAAGTTTCGAAAATGTCACATTCTGATCTAGAATTGTCTCAGAAATCCTAAAATGTTACAATATACAGGGTGTTCCACTTAAAAATTTAGAACCGGAGCCATTTTCGGTGAAACCGGAAGTGACCGGGAAGTGAAAAATAGGTGAAAACTCTCCTCTTCACATACCAAATCTCATTTTGATACACCTGATGGTCTAGAATTTAAGCCTTGTCTAATAGATTCGTTGACTCCCGGTATGTATCTAAATGTGTTAGTTTCTTTTCTGAAAACATCTAATTCTAAGTTGTTTTCGCTACTTCGGCACTTTACCCTTTACCCCCATGTTATAGATATGATTTGCCAAGCCCTTCTGTTCGGCCACGTTGCACGGCCATTCCACCGACCGGGATCTGGGGAATTCAGCTGTTTGTATAACAAGGGAGAAAAGTGCTACTTTGCCTCCCGAAGATGAAGGTTAGGGAGGAAAAGGCAATATACCCCCATGTTATACATATGATTTGCCGCCTGTGGTGTTCACTATTTTATTAAATAAAACACTTTGTTTTCTTTCAACACTTGTATTATAAACAGTATAATATGTACGGTCTCATTCACTGTCCGTATCTGAATGAATCCCCAAATTAACAGTGCCTCTCGCCTTGTCATTCGGTTACATAAACATGACTTATCAATATACTGAATCATCATAGCAATTCTTCGCCCAGTTCGATACATCACATCTCTTCCTTTGTTTTAAACCTAAATTACGAATAGCTTAACTAAATCAAAATAATTAACAAACATCAATATGTTCAACAACAATAATAATACATAGGTTAAACATAAGATCTAAGATCTAACCCCTAAACTAAGAATGATATTCGTTTCATAATTATGACAATGGTAAATAGATACATATGAAAACCTAATTCAATTAATGAATTCAATTAATGATTTTATTATGCTAATTCTCCATCAACTGTTAGAAGAGGTAAGGAGCGTTTGGTCCTTTGCAATCTGGAAAGGAATAGCTTTATTTTAAATGGTATTATTAGTTAACTTTATCGTCATCCCTACTTTGTACTTGCCATTGACCCTCTATCTTTTTAAGGTGAACAATATTTCGCCTTAGTTCCTGACCCGTTTCAGAATTTTGGACTAAGATATCCCCGCCCCTTTTTTCTATTACTGTGTGTGGGGTAGGGTCATAATCTGGAGTGACCTTGTTTGGCCTGACTAAATTTTTGTGATAAACATTATCGCCAATGTTTATGTCATTTTCATCTATTGCTTTTCGTTTTCGGTCCTCATTTTTCCTACCCTTTTCTTTTTGTACTCAGTCTTTATCGATTGTTTCATCGTCAAGAACGATATGTTGGGTATCTGTGGCAGAAGGAATTTTGTCCCTAAACTGGCGTCGAAAAAATAATTCACTAGGAGTTTTTCCAGTAGTTCCGTGTGGTGTACTATTGTACATCATAAGATAATTTACAAGCTCTTCATGCCAATTCGTTTTAAGGCCTTGACTTATCTTCAAGCGTTTGAGGATGTCCCTATTCTGTCGTTCTACTTCTCCGTTCATCTGAGGCCAGTATGGAATCGAGTGAAATATTTTTATGCCCTTTTCTCTGAGAAATGATTTTATTTCTTCGCTTGTGAATTGTTTGCCACTGTCACAAGTGATAGACACCGGGAACCCTAGCCTTGAAAAAATTTCTTTGAGTGCATTAATGGTTGTTGCAGATGTTATAGTTTTCATAATTTTTATTTCTTTATACCTACTGAAGTAATCCACAATGACAAAAAGATATTTCCCGTTAGGTAGGGGACCCGTAAAATCTATAGCCACGTCTACCCAAGTTGCCGTTGGTATTTGTCTCCTTTTCATTGGATATGGGGGGTTGGAGG